ATAATATAAAAAGGAATCAATTTAAAATTATAATGAAAGCCAAGGGGCATAGTAGAACAAATTTTCTAGAGCTCATTAAGTCAAATGAGTCACCAGTTAGTAAAACGCAGTCAGGGGGAAGAGAGGGCAGGATTCTTTGAAGCAGCGGCTCTCCTAAAAACAGAACCCACCCTTGTCCAGCTGCCTTCCCTCCTGAGGGTGTTCCCTTTGACCATGTGACCCCCCACCCCCTATTTCCCAGCCATCGAAGCCCACCTCTAGCATAATACGAGCTTCTAATCCCTCTCCCTGACCCCATCCCAATTTTGAAGCCCAGTCTAGTGTTTTCTCAACTATACTTCTTGGCTCTGTTCCTTCCTTTCTATCACCTCTGCCTTTTCACTGCAAGCTTGGGCCACTGCAGTCACCTCCCTACCAACAGTCGTTCCCTACCCATCCAGTCGGCCCCGCCTGCTGCTGCAAAATTCACCTAGGGCACCTCTGTGGTGCTGCCCCTGCCTGTGGACAAAGTCCAAGCCAGCCACCTCACCCCCCTACAGGTGAGTGGGGAGCAGCCAGCATGTCCAGTGGTTTACCCCATCGCCATAGACTTGGTGATGTGTTGATGTACAGAGAAGGGGTGTTCGCAGCCACAACACAAGCAATCCTGCCCCACATGGGACCTAAGATGGACATGCTGCAAGCCACCTCTAAGAATCCAACATAAGGCAGAAGGGAGAATGGCTCACATGGCACAAACACTCCTTTTTGTTTTGTTTTTTTTCTTTTTGAGAGGAGTCTCACTCTATTGCCCAAGCAGGAGTGCAGTGGCACAATCTCAGCTCACCGCAACCTCCGCCTCCCAGGTTCAAGCGATTCTCCAGCCTCAGCCTTCCAAGTAGCTGGGATTGCAGGGGTGCCCTACCACACCTGGCTAATTTTTGTGGTTTTGGTAGAGACGGGGTTTCACCATGTTGGCCAGGCTGGTCTTAGCTCCTGACCTCAGGTGATCTGCCTGCCTTGGCCTCCCAAAGTGCTGGGATTACAGGTGTGAGCCATGGGGCCTAGCCTCCTTCCATTTTAATGTATGCCTAATCTGCCCATTGAGAATGGTTGAGACACATTTTAGGTGGCCAGGGTCTACTTAGAGTTAGTGCTCATGACCAGGCCCAGGTCCAGCCTGGCTGGCCAAATGGTGCCTTTGACCTGCTATGGCTCTGTGCAAAGGAATGAGCTGATGGATGGGGGCGCAGTGTGTGGGCAGTGGGCTGGGGCTGGCAGGACTCAGTGACCAAGGGAAGAGAACTTTCCTCACCACCAACCTGTCTTTTCAGGGCACTGCAGGGGGGCTTTGGGACTTGGTGATGAACACAGCATAGTGAGCTGTCCAGCATGTGGGCTCCTGGATTCTCACAGTTCCCGGGCTCCTTCAGAGGCTTTCTCTAAAGAGAGCTGCTCTCTCTAGAACCCACACATTTAGAATATAGGCAACCACTGCAATGGGGACAACTGACCTCAAACATAGAGACCAGAGCAGATGGGGCTCATCGTGTGAAACTCATCTTGAACTCTAGCAGCTTCTTTTCACAAGTTCATGGAGAGAGGTTTTCCACTGAGGGAATCACATCTGTCTGATCAAACGAGGCTTGGGAAATGGCTCTCCTATTCATTCCCTGGAAACCTCTGATGGAACCACTGCCACTGTGGCGGCCCCGGCACTGGCACCCCAGCCATGATTGGTGTCCCAGCCACATCTTTGCTGTGAGCCCCAGAGCCCTGGTTAATTAATCATCCGTGTGTTGACGGGGAGAGGCCCGTTCTCGAAAGCGGTGTAAAGCCCAGGGCGATGTGGCCATGGCAGGAAGGGTGCGGGACTACGTTCTACCCCCAACTGAGAGATTCAGAAACCAGAAGAAAATGGAAAAGCATACTGTGCTCTTGAGTGGGAAAACTAAATATGAAGGGAGCAATTTTTATAGTGTTGGCCTATAATACAATTCCAGCTGAAATCCCAATGGAGCTTTGAGAATTTGCAGGAAAAAAAAATCTAAAATATATCTGGAAGACAAAACTTACAAGAAGGTTTCAAAAATAATTTTGAAAAAGAAAATGATATCTGAGCCCACCTAGAGAATAAGACTTGAGATCCAAAGCTTAAATCAGGAGGCTCTAGCACCAAAACTGACAGATAAACGGGACACAGTACATGGCGCATTGACCTGGGAAAGAGGGCAGATTGGTCTGCAAATAGGCCTGGGTCCATTGGCTTTAGCTGTTGTGTTTGGGGAGAAAGTTTTCAACCTCACTCCATCTTAAACCTAAAAATATTCCAGATGAATCAATAAATATGAAAAATTAGACCACTAAAAACCTAGAAGAAAATGGATGATCTTTCTGTACCATAGAGCAATGGAACAAATCACAAAGGAAAACAGATTTGACTATATAAAAATTAAACCCTGCCTATCAAAAACCATCAGAAATCAAAATAAAAGGCAACCAACTGGAGAAGACAGTTGCCACAAATATGATCAAGGGTTAATGTTATTCATAAATTAAGAGTCCACACAAGTCGTTAGAATGAGCACTGAGACCTGAACAGAGAAGCAAAAAGAATGTGAGGGAGTCAGCGCGGAAGCTCACGCCTGTAATCCCAGCACTTTGGGAGGCCAAGGCAGGCGGATCACGAGGTCAGGAAATTGCAACTATATTTTTTAATGCATAGACTAAGAGGCTAGAGGGAAATATCACAGATCCTTAACATACATTCCCAAACCTTTGTAAATCCACAGATTCATGAAAACAGACACATTTGCGCAAGTGCCTGATCTTTCTTGTTATACATTCATTAGAAGTCAAGCCCTCGTACCACACAGTATCTGCCTTTTCAAATGTGATCAAAATGTTCTCTTTTGCTTCAAGGCCATTTTTCACAAGGCAATGGCATTTTTGCCTCTTCATCAGAGTCACTGTGTGCCCTGGAGGACTGAGAACAGCAGAGCCGTGTTGGGATGGGACAGGGCAGCTGGGAAGATTGGGCTCACTCCCTACTAAGTGCCTCACTCCCGTACAGCCCCCATAGAGGAAGAGGGGTTCAAATTTATTCCTCAGCCAGATGGCATGTGCCCCCTCTCCTGGAATCTCACGTCACTTATGATGGACCAAAATTCCAAAAGCTGAATCCATGACTGTCAAAGTCTGGTATGGCAGGATGTCAACAGTAATCATTTCTGGGCAGAGGGATGATTTTCTCTTCCCATCTTGCTTTGTATAAATACATTTTCTATAATAAGATTGTATTACTTTTCTCATGAAGAAATAGCCAAGTACTGTTTTACTCAAAATATGAATAGAGCCAGGCATGCTAGCAGCTTATGCCTGTAATCCCAACACTTTTGGAGGCGGAAATGGGAGGGTCACTTTAGCCCAGGAGTTTGAGACCAGCCTGGGTAACATAGTGAGACCCCGTCCCTCCTCCCCCCAAAAAAATCTACAAAGCATTTATCCTGGATTATTCACAGGGGCCAAAAAAAAAAAAAGAAAAAAAAAGAAAATTCAGGCCTCTTATAGACATGAGCTATGAATATGAAAATATGCAAATGTGAAAGAAAAGCCAGCACATCTGATTTTTACTTTTACTTTCACACCTCTGTCTACCATATTCCAAGAGGAGAAACTTGGTCATTGAAAGGAATCGATCAAATCCAAAGAACAAAACTACTGTGTTCATTAAACTTCTTAGTGTTCACAAAGCTTTAGCTGCAGGTTGAATGGGACACCCCGAATTGGGCTCACCTGGGCTGCAGGGAGCAGAGATAGCACCACTGCACTCCAGCCTGGGCAACAAAGCGAGACTCTCTCTCAAAAAAAAACAAAGTTCAGAAATTCAAAGTTGTGAGTTATTTTTAAAATAATAATAATTATAATAATAATTCACAATAAAGATGAGGACAAAGTGTGAGCAAATGGTGGTTTCTGTCCGGCTTTGTTGAGCTGAAGCAGCCTCTCCCTGCTGGGGCTTTTGGGGAAAAAGGGTATGTGTTGCTCTTCAGATCCCAAGCCTCATGCCCCTACTGGGCCCTGTGTGGTGCTTCTCAGCACACTGGGAGAGCCACCGTTGGAACGCACACCTGGGGGACCTGGTGGGTGACGGTGCGGTGAGTGGGGGCCACAGCCTGACTCCAGGGAAGCCAGCGAGCTCAGAGCTGGAGGAGTCAGGACACCCCCGATGGGTCAAGAGTTGGTTTTGCTGCCAGTTGGCATCTGATTGAACCATCCCTTCACTTCTCCGTGCCTCACTTTCCTTACCAGACGTGCTCTGCTGATGCCATTCTCTCCTGTTCAGTCCTACCTTCACCATTGAAGAGAAAGAGCAAACTGCTAGGCAGCAGCATTGATTTTTTTAAGGAAGTGGAAAGAAAGCTGGGAATAACAAGTCAGGCTCACCTCACCTACCTCACCTGGTGGGTTGGTTTGTTTCGTTTTGTTTTTGTTTTGAGACCGAGTTTCGCCCTGTCACCCAGGCTGGAGTGCAGTGGTGTAATCTCGGCTCACTGCAATCTCCACCTGCCAGGTTCAATTGATTCTCCTGCCTCAGTCTCCCGAGTAGCTGGGATTATAGGCACCTGCCACACGCCTAGCTAATTCTTGTATTTTTAGTAGAGATGGGGTTTCACCCTATTGGCCAGGTTGGCCTCGATCTTCTGACCTCAGGTGATCCACCCACCTCGGCCTCCCAAAGTGCTGGGATTACAGGCATGAGCCACCATGCCTGGCCCTCACCTGGTGGTTTTGAATGTGAACTGAATGTGTTGGTAAATTAAGCATACGGATAGACGTAAATAACACTTGGGCAGGAATATGGAGCACGGGATGAGGATGGGCGCCCAGCTGTTGGAGAGGGTGATGGGGAGGCTGAGATCTGCCTGCCATGAACTGGGAGGAGGGGCTCCTCTCTCTCTTCACCCCCACTCTGCCCCCCAACACTCCCTAGAACTTATCCTCCCCTCTTCTTTCCCCAGGCGAGCCTTGAACCAGGATGGCTGAGCCCCGCCAGGAGTTCGATGTGATGGAAGATCATGCTGGGACGTACGGGTTGGGGGACAGGAAAGATCAAGAGGGCTACACCATGCTCCAAGACCAAGAGGGTGACACGGACGCTGGCCTGAAAGGTTAGTGGACAGCCATGCACAGCAGGCCCAGATCACTGCAAGCCAAGGGGTGGCAGGAACAATTTGCATCCAGAATTGTAAAGACTTTTTAAATACATTATTGTCTTAGATTGTCAGTAGAGTGAAACCTCATTAATTTGAGTGGGCCAAGATAATTCAAGCAGTGAGATAATGGCCAGGCACAGTGGCTCACGCCTATAATCCCAGCACTTTGGAAGGCCCAGGCAGGAGAATCCCTTGAGGCCACAAATTTGAGACCAGCCTGGGCAACATAGCAAGACCCCATCTCTAAGAAAAATTTAAAAATTAGCTGGGTGTTGTGGTGCATGTCTATAGTCCTAGCTACTCAGGATGCTGAGGCGGAAGAATCACTTGAGCCCAGGAGTTCAAGGTTGCAGTAAGCTGTGATTATGAAACTGCACTCCAACCTGAGCAACAGAGCAAGACCCTGTTGGAAAAAAAAAAAAAGGAAGAAATTTACCTTGAGTTACCCACATGAGTGAATGTACGGACAAAGATTGCAGGGGCTTGACAATCTTTCAAATACAGGGTACTTTTTGAGGCGTTAGCCACACCTGTTGGCTTATAAATCAGTAGTATTGATTAGCATGTAAAACATGTGACTTTAAACATTGCTTTTTATCTCTTCCTTAGATCAGGCCTGACTGGCCTCTCTTTAGCAAGAGTTGGTTAGCCCTGGGATTCTTACTGTAGCCACATTAATAAACGACATCAACTTCTAAATATTCTATAATACCATCTTTTGGGCAAATTAACTTCACCTCTTCCTTTCTCTTTCCAAATGAAATGTTTCATTTCACTGTCAGACCACATGGTCCGGGACCCCACGGAGCACACAGCCTTCCCTCTGTCTCCCCATGCTGGCCCTTCACCCACTGCTGGAGTGCCGAGTTGGTCCAAGGGTTGGACCACGTTCTCAGGTTGTCTCAAGGTTGGTCCAGGCTGTCTCAGTGCTGGCTTGTGCTACAAGGAGCCCTTCTTTCCACGGGTGTCGCTAGCAGTGAGTGCTCACAGCAACAGCCCACGGTGCAGCCCGAGGGCAGGGTGGACTCAGTCCCTGCCTCCATACCCATTTCTAAGCAAGCAAAATGGCAAACACTCTACTTTTCTCTTTTAATGCTAAAAATAAGAAAACACGCTGCAGCCCAGGGTATGGGTAGTGGATGGGAGCCAGGGAGTTCCAAGGTGGGAAGTGGCCTCTACTGGATGTGTCTATTCAGGAAGATCACTGGAGTGGGTGGGGTCTCTGGGAGGTCCCCTGAGTGTGGGAAGCGCTGGGACCACCAGCTTCTCACACAGGGAGTGGCCATCCTAGCTTGGAGAGGTTCCAGGACTGGTTTCGACGCTCGTTTCAGATTTCCATCTGTTGAATCAGGGAAGGTGTTGGATTATGAGGAATTTGGGGATTAGGAAAGTGGGTGCAGGTAGGTTGGGGGGAGGTGAAGGAAGACATGGGCACATTACAGGAACAGGGGCTGCTCAGAGGTGTCCGAGAAGCTCTGGGTGAGGAGGTGAGAGGGAGAGGGGAATGCAGCTCGGCGCAGCCTCCCTGCCTGAGGTCAGCCATCACGTGGTGATGGAAAGAGGGAAATGTGCTTTCTGACGGCTCCAGCCAGTGCTGCCAGATTCAGCTCCCCAGGGAGGGCAGCTGAGCGGCTCCAAGCTAGGAGATCTGTTTTCTCCTTTGAATCCTTCTTAGAGGCTGGGCATGGTGGCTCACGCCTGTAATCCCAGCACTTTGGGAGGCTGTGGCGGGAGGATCGCTTGAGCCCAGGAGTTCCAGACCAGCCTGGGCAACATAGTGGGACCTCATCTCTACAGATAATAATTTTTAAAATTACCTGGGCATAGTGGCATGCACCTATAGTCCCAGCTACTCAAGAGGCTGAGGCAGGAGGATCGCTTGAGCCCAGGAGGCAGAGGTTGCAGTGAGCCAAGATCCCATCACTGCACTCCAGCCTAGGCAAAAGAGTGAGACTCTCATGTCCAATTATAATAATAATAAATAAATCTTTCTCAGTCCCTTCCTCACTGTGTCCCCCTCCACTAAACTTTTCCACCACCTCTCCCACTTCCCTCGCTCCCGCTTTCCCTCTCCTTCTCTCCCCACTCCATCTTTTTCTTTCTCTGCTGTTTCCCACCCCTTCCTCCTCTCCATCCTGCAACACTGCCTACCCTGTCCCCGCACCACCCTGGTGCTCAGGATGTGTTAAGTGAGGGTGGTAGCCTCCAAGAGCTCAACCCCGAAGGTTAGCCTGTTGAAACCACTCTCCCAGCTGCCCCCTGGCAGTTGGTGCTGTTGGGGGAAACTGGGATTGGGGGCCTCTTTTCCTGACAAAGAGATGAAGAGTCCCCTCACCAGGTGCCTGGGACTGGGGTGTGGGTGTCACAGTCTATCCCAGCGCATCTGTTTGCATCATGATTAATAGTGCTGCTTTCAACTGGCGGCGGTGGCTCATGCCTGTAATCCCAGCACTTTGGGAGGCTGAGGTGGGTGGATCACGAGGTCAGGAGTTCAAGACCAGCCTGGCCAACATGGTGAAATCCCGTCTCTACTAAAAATACAAAAACTAACCGGGTATGGTGGTGGGCGCCTGTAGTCCCAGTTACTCAGGAGGCTGAGGCAGGAGGATCAATTGAACCTGAGAGGTGGAGGTTGCAGTGAGCCGAGATCACGCCACTGCACTCCAGCCTGGGCAATAAGCGCAAAACTCCATCTCAAGAGAAAAAAAAAAATAGTGCTGCTTTCAGCCTGGGCATGGTGGCTCACGCCTGCAATCCCAGCACTTTGGGAGGCCGATGTGGGTGTATCACAAGGTCAGGAGTCCAAGACGAGCCTGGTTAACATGGTGAAACCTTGTTAAGGAGAGACTCCTTCTCTCTCTCTGTTTTTTTTTTTTTTTTTAAGACAGAGTCTCGCTCTGTCGCCAAGGCTGGAGTGCAGTGGCGCCATCTCGGCTCACCGCAACCTCCGCCTCCTGGGTTCAAGCGATTCTTCTGCCTCAGTCTCCCAAGTAGCTAGGATTACAGGTGCCCGCCACCACGCCCAGCTAATTTTTGTATTTTTAGTAGAGACAGGGTTTTACCATGTTGGCCAGGCTGATCTCGGACTCCTGACCTCATGATCTGCCCACCTCGGCCTCCCAAAGTGCTGGGATTACACGCACGAGCCACTACGCCCAGTCAACTCCTTCTCAAAAGAAAAAAAAATAGTGCTGCTTTCTCCTTCAAGTGTCCTTATTTGGGTGATAGTAAATGCCACCCTACTTATAAGGGAACTACCTCAGAATGCTAATTGGGACATTTTTGTAGCATTCTACTATTAGCAATAGGTGATGCTCACAACAGCCCGTGAGGGTAGATGACATCCACTTCACAGATTACAAAGGAGCCTCGTGCTCAGACCGTGGGCTGCCGGAGCAGGTCCATGGCTGCAGCCCCACACGGGCCATGTTTCCCCCTTGTCACTCTTTCCACCAAGCCCCCTTGGAACTTCAGTTATTAAACTCTCTTGGGTGGAATTCAAGTTAGAATCACAACAGATGCCTCATATGAATTGTGCCAGTGAAAAATGACATTCTATTTAGAGGCAGGGCAGCCTGGCTTAGAGTAAGTTTAAAATATGTGTTATGCTGCAGCAAATGTACCATGATCCTGTAAGATGTTCACAACAGGGGAACTGGATGTGAGGTATACTCTCTGTACTAACTTCGCAAGTTTTCTATAAATCTAAAACTGTTCCAAAATAACAAGTTCCTTTAAAATTAACTCCAGGAGACCAGATGCAGTGGCTAATGCCTGTAATCCCAGCACTTTGGAAGGCTAAGGCAGGTGATTGATTGAGCCCAGGAGTTTGAGGCCAGCCTGGGCAACGTGGTGAAATCCCATCTCTACAAAAAATACAAAAATTAGCCAGGTGTGGTGGCGCACTCCTGTAGTCCCAGCTACTTGGGGGACTGAGGTGGGAGAATCATCTGAGCCCAGGAGTTTGAGGCTGCAGTGAGCTGTGATTGTACCACTGCACTCCAACCTGGGCAACAGAGTGAGACCCTGTCTCAAAAAACAAAAATGAAATAAAGTCTGGGAAAGAAGTAGGTTTTACCACTCTTATTTTCTGAAGAGAAACTAAATTTAATGTGTAAAGTGAGGACAAGTTCACCAAGTTAGTGTTTGAGTTGCCTAAAATATGTTTGCTAAAACTATTCAATGCTTTCACATAAAACATGATCAGAAGTTCTATGCCAAAACATATGTGTGTGTATATATATATGCACTATATATACTGTATGCAAAAATGCAAAATCTAAATTGCCAACCTTTTTGAAACTGCTCTGAAGGGAAAGCATTTGAAGATAAATTGCTTACCCAAAGAACATACTTTCCAAGAAAGCAAGTAATACTTAAGGTGTTCATAGTCCTCATCAAACTAATTCTTGCTACTGAAAGCTTACAAGGAGCTGTTTTTATGTCAGGTGTGACAGGTTTGACTTGGCAGAAGGTGTCACTTTACTAACAACATTTTACATAAGTGACAGAAGACAAGAAACTACATGTTAAATACCAGAACAAAGAGTGTCTAAGTGGATGCTAAGAGTTGAAATATGGCTGGATACCTGCCCAAGAGAGCTGAAAAGTAGATGAAAGTTGGTTACCTATAAACTAGTGCACCCTAATGAATTAAAAGGTGTTGATGAGTTAACTTGTTATGCCTTCCAGATAAGACATGCAAATGGGGCTTCTTCCTCCTTCCCTCCTTCCAAGGAATTTAACAAGGAGACCAATGCAAATGATAAGAACTGTAGGGCTCAAGCTGGGAACAGATTGGGGAAAGGGGGACCATCATGCCCATATAGATGCCCCTGTGCCCTGGCAGTCAAGGCTTCTGGAAAATAACGAAACCCAGAAGTCTGCATGATGCTGCCTTATCATTTGTCCAAAGCCTTCTTGCGGCAGTTTGCAGGCTCTTGCGAGCTCCAGGACCAAGGAGATATGTTCGTGCTGGAAGCTTGTTTAGGATGAGCTGTTCTTTGTGGGATGGGTGCAGCCAGGGCCAGGTGTCCAGGGATGGTGTTTTAACAAAGCGTGTGAGGTGTCTGATCTCACAGTGCACTTGAACTCCATTGCCTTTTTTTCATCTTCTCATTCTGTTTCATGCACAGAACCAGCCCCATCCTGAAACTGACTCTAAATTACTCCCGCCCCAGGTGGAGTGCCTTTCTCAGAGTTCAACAGAGCCTTCCTGTCGCCCAAGGGACAACTCCACTGAATGCCCAAGCCTAACAAATAAAAACCAAACTCTGTGCTCCCCCATCCTGGGCCATTACTGGTTTCTCTACTGCTGTTGGTGGTACCACCATCAACTTGTCCATCATGACCCTGGCCAGTTCCTCCCACAACGCTCCACAGCACCCAGGGACCTCACCTCCATTCCATCCGACACAGACCTCCTCACCACAAACCTTGGTTTTGCAACAGCAGCCCTGAGACCTTTACACCCTCCTCCCTTCATCCTGTCCCCCACCAAGGCCCCAAAGCCATTCCTTAAAGCAGGGCTCCACAAACTATGACCCACAGGCCAATTCTGGTACCCAGCCTGTTTTGCACAGCCAGTGAACTGACAATGATCTTTTCATACAACCAGAAAAAAAAAAAAAAAAAAGCCCACCATTCTGAGTATGTGACTTCCATGTTCAAGATGTCTCATGTTCAGAAAGGCCCCTGGAAAAGGAGGAAGGGTATGAGCTGGGCACAAAGGGAGACCCTCTCAGCTGAGCTCCTCCCATCCAGACATTTTCCTGGACTTCCTATCCAATGACTTCCCTTAGCTTCTCATCAGCCACCCCTGCCTGCCCAGGAAGCTGGCAGATGTGGCCTTTTAACTGGGCACAGCTCTGTTCTATATCATATCAGGGCTCTGTTCCCAAGGAAGGTAGAGAGAATGGACACCAGGTGGACCCTCAGCAGTCTGTGCCACAGAGGGAGTGTTTGCAGTTTCCACACTAAAAGTCCCCATGTGCTTGACGGGATCTGTGACTACAACGTGATGCTTGACTTTTCCTCATATGACCAGAGCCACTTTGTCCATCTGGTGTAATGGTCAGCTACCTGCTAGGGGCCCTCCAGGATTCCCAGTTGATTCCATATCTGCATCACCACCATCAGCACTAAATAAAATACTCAAGTTCCTGCTGGTGAGCATGAGCAGTGCTACATTGGGCCCTTCAACCAAGGTGACAAGCACTGAAAATAATCACTGCCACTTATTCGGGGCTTCTCATCTGCCAGGCATGGTACAAAGTGCTTTAAATAAGCATTCAACAGTTTCATGCTGACAGAAGCCCTGTGAGCCAGTGGAGCTACTCCCATGCCCATTATACAAGGGAGAAAACTGAGGCAGAGGGAGGTTAGGTAATTTGGTCAGCATCACACAACCAATAGGTTGTGGAGCCAGGATTTGGGCCCCATCTGCCTGACTCTCTAGAGGCTCTGATCTATCCAGAGTTGAGTCTAAGCCATGGATAGGGCAATTAGACAGCAGAGGAAACCCATTCAGCCACCATGTGCATGAAGAGTGAGGAATTTCTGTCATACAGAGGGGAGTGAATTCACTGAGCTGAGAGCTGAGGAACCACTGATCTGATGGCTGAGACACCACTGGGAAGACTGGAGAGGCTTTTCTGGGCATGCATTGCCAGGCACAGGAGAAGCTGAGGGAAGATGACTAAGAGGTACTGGCAAAGAACTCAGAAATTCTGATGGAAGCTTTACATGCTACCATCACATCCATCCATCTATCCACCCATCCATCCACCCATATCTTCCTCCATCCACCCAATCATACATACATACATCCAGTCATCTGTACACCACCCACCCATCCATCCGTCCATCCATCCATTCATTCCTTCATCCATCCCATCATCCATCCAATTATACATACATCCAATCATATATCTGTACATCATCCATTCTTCCCTCCATTCATCCATCCATCCACCCATCCCTTCCTTCATCCTTCTCATCATCCATCCAATCATACATATATCCAGTCATATATCTGTACATCACCAGCTCCATCTATCCATTTATCCATCCATCCTTTCTTTCATCCATCAATCATCCATCCATCATACATACATCCAACCATACATCTCTACATCATTCATTCTTCCATCGATTCATCCAATTATCCATCCATTCCTTCCTGTATCTATCCCATTATCATTTGATCATACATACATCATCTGTATGTCATCCATTCATCCAACCATCCATTCATCCATCCATCCATCCACCCATATCTTCATCCAATCAATCATACATACATCCAATCATCTACACATCACCCATCCATCCATCCATCCACCCATCCATCCATCCATCCATCCATCCATCCATCCATCCAATCATCCAGTCGTATATCCAATTACACATCCATCCAATTATACATTCATACATGCATCTAATCATTCAATTATACATACACACATCCATATAATTATACATCCAATCATACCTCTATCCAATTATACATTCATACATTCCAACTAATAAATTATTAATTCATATATCCATCCTTATAATTATACATCCATCTAATCATTCAGTAATTCACCCGTCCATCCAGTCATCTATCCAATAATACATTCATCCAATCATCCATCCATCCATCCACCCATCCATCCATCCACCCATTCATCCATCCATCCATCCATCCACCCACCCATCATGGTTTGAGCCATGATTTACTACCATGGTCCACTGTGGACAGCCCAGGTGGGACTGAATTGAAGAGAAGCCCAGGGCTGCCCCCATAAACATTTGGCTCCTTTACATCGACGAGAACTAGATCCACATGTATAAATCCTCATGATTTGAAGGTGCTTTTACCAACATTCACTCATGGGATTCTCCCAGCAGCTCTAGGAGGTAGAGTTGAGGTCATCTCACCCATTTTACAAATGAGGAAACAGAGGCCCTGAGAGGCAGGTCCAAGTCCACCTGACCAGAAAGAAGTGGAACTGGGACTTGAACCCAGCCATCTTGCCCCTTGGTCCCGTGCTCTCTAGCCTATAACTCCCGCTTCCTGGTAGGGCACCTCCAGGAGGACCCTATCGGCTGGCCCTGGGCCTGCCCTTGAGTCTTTTGCTGTGTGTGGCCATCCTTCCTCCCTCAGGAGAGTGTGTACTCCCAGAGCACAGGCTGTATCTTCTAAGCATTTTGTCCCTTCCCAGTACCTAGCACTCAGCTCTGTATACATCAGGCTCTCAAGAAGTCTCAACCTTCCAGAGGGTAAGGTCTTGACCTGCTCTGCCCCGGATACTGCAGGATGCATTGATAAGCCCATAAAATAACCAGGGCAGATTGACTCCCAGTGGCCAAAGTACCACAGGGAAGGGACAATTCAGTCCTTCTAGGAGGAGGAAGTAGTTTTCTAATTTCTATTAAGCCAACAAAAGCTGCCTTACTAAGGGCATTATTGGTGGAGGGTGTGACTGTCAACCACTGTGATCATTTGGGCCTCTCTTGCCCAAGCTTCCCATTCTGAAAGGACAGTTTTCTTGTAGGTACCCATGGCTGCCATTTCAAATGTAACTCACAGCTTGTCCATCAGTCCTTGGAGATCTTTCTGTGGACGCTTGATGGCATCCAAACACCACCCAATGTCCACTTAGAAGTAAGCACCGTGTCTGCCCTGAGCTGACTCCTTTTCCAAGGAAGGGGTTGGATCTCTGAGTGTTTTCCTAGGTGTCTGCTTGTTAATTAATAGCAATGAACAAAGCAGAAGGTTCATGCGTAGCTGGGCTTTCTGGTATTTGCTGCCCGTTGACCAATGGAAGATAAACCTTTGCCTCAGGTGGCACCACTAGCTGGTTAAGAGGCACTTTCTCCTGTCACCCAGGAGCAAACGCACATCACCTGTGTCCTCGTCTGATGGCCCTGGTGTGGGGCACAGTCGTGTTGGCAGGGAGGGAGGTGGGGTTGGTCCCTTTTGTGGGTTTGTCACAAGGCTGTGTTCCAACTGTTTCCATGGGGAGCAATTTTCAGCTCCACAAGACACTGCTCCCCAGTTCCTCCTGAGATTAAAAGGGGGCACTGGGGAGAGGCCGCCGTTCTGAGGCCTCACCATGTGTGTTCCAGAATCTCCCCTGCAGACCCCCGCTGAGGACGGATCTGAGGAACTGGGCTCTGAAACCTCTGATGCTAAGAGCACTCCAACGGCGGAAGGTGGGCCCCGCTTCAGACGCCCCCTCCATGCCTCCAGCCTGTGCTTAGCTGTGCTTTGAGCCTCCCTCCTGGCTGCATCTGCTGCTCCCCCTGGCTGAGAAATGTGCTCACTCATTCGGTGCTTTGCAGGACAGTGTGGCGGGAGCTGAGCCCTGCTTCGATGCCTTGCTTGCTGGTGCTGAGCGTGGGCACCTTCATCCCATGTGTGCTCTGGAGGCAGCCACCCTTGGAGAGTCCCGCGCACAGCTCCACAAAGCCCCTCTCCATACGATTGTCCTCCCATACCCCCTTCAAAAGCCCCCTCTTCTCTCTTTCTTCAGGGGCCAGCAGGTCCCAGAGCAGCCATTTGGCTGAGGGAAGGGGCAGGTCAGTGCACATCTGATCTTGGTTTAGTATCTTTCATTTTGGGGGCTCTGGGTGTGGCCTGGGCCTCTGGACTTTGGCCACGATGTTTGTTCCGGCCCTTCTAACCTGTCCTTTCCAGACACTCAGCATCTAGGTTATTAGGACTCACATACTTCCTGACGTGCTCCTCAGTCCTGATTTTGACCATCTTCTCTTGCTTCCCATCTGTATCAGTCAAGACTGCATTTGGCTGTAAGAAACAGAAACCCCAACTAACTGTGGCATTTACATGAACAGGTTTACTTTTCTCACATAATCAGATGCCTGAACTTGGCCAGCACCTCAAGGGTCACTGGTGCTCTCCCGTCTTTATTTTCTGTCATCTTTAGTGGTTGGATTGTTGCCTCATGGTTACAAAGTGGCTGCTGCACTTCCAGGCATCACATCTGCCTTTGAAGCAGGAATGAGTTGCAAAGTAAAGTGGCCAAAAGGGCCCTAAAACTAAATGCGTCCCCTTAGGAAAACAGGAGTTTTCTTGCAAGTGGCAGTCTTCCACTTATGTCTCATCAGCCAGAGCTGGGTCTTATGGCCACCCCTTGCTGCAGGCAAGGCTAGGACATTGAGCATTTTGCCTTCCAGCCTCTTTAGCAGAATAAATCAAGGGAGAAGAATGTTAATAATGGCTTTCAAGTGACTAGTTGGCAGTATCTGCCCCTCTATCTCTCCATCCTCCCCTTGGAGGTTCAAGGTTCCTTTCTTAGCACTTCTTCAGGCTCTGCACATTCATTTGGATCTTGTGTCTTGGGGTGAAAAACTTGCCCAAGTGTCTCTGCAAGCATCTACCTTTGGATGAATTTGGAAAGTGGCTGTCAAGTGCCCGCCCCTTGCTTGGTACAATGCTGCATCTTTAGAGGATGCAGCAGGCATGGGCCTTGCTGCTGAGGTTCTTAGCCTCATAAGAATATCCAGGTTAGATTCTCTTGGCTCCTTCTTAGAGCCAGTGATGCAAGACATTTCCTGTTCATCTTGTCGGGATGGTTTTGCAAGTTGCCTGCCATCCTGAGAAAGTCTACAAAACGATGCCAGACCTCATGCCAGCTTCCCAAGCCTTGGCTCTCAGTGCTCCCTCAACAGAGTCTGGAAGAATCTCCCAAACAAGTCTCAATGCCCTCTGGACCCTGTGCAGGCGTGAGACTCAAGAGCACTGGCTCCCACCCCTGGTGGAGGGAGCCCTGCTGGGGCTGGGATCTTGCCTGGTTGCTCTGCCTGCACCCAAGACAACCATAATTAAAATGTCCTTCATTGAACTTGGAAAGCCTTCAAAGCTGACAACTCCTTACGTGTACCTGGAGTGGCCTGGGAGTGTGCCAGGGCATTGCTTGAGAGGAACACTGATTTGGAAGCATTTACCTTGATGAGAGACTGACAGCAGCTCCTGGTAACCGAGCTTTCCCTCCTGCCTCTGCTGTGAAGGTGGACCCATGCGACAGTCAAATGCCTGACTTTGGATAGGACCGGACCTATTTATTGCCATGCAAGGGACTCTGCATTTTTGAATTATGGGTCATGGGCTTGGAGACAGGGGTTAGAGCTGGGAGAAGTCTTGGAAGTCACCTAGAGAAGACACTGCCATTTTGCAGATGAGGAAACTGTCCAATCAAAATGGACCAAGAATTTGCCCAAAGTCTCACAGCAAAACCATAGCCCCCACCCTAACCCCCCCAGTCCCTGTGTTGTCTCAGTTGTAATTCTCGCCTTAAGGATCAAATAGTTATGAGCAATCATCTGGTTTTCAGTATTCTTTTAAAATGCCTGGGGCCATGCCCAGCAGTCCCTTTCACTGGGGTTTAGACAGGGCTGCCGGGCTTTCCTGGTGGATGAGCTGGGCAGTTCATGAGCCAGTAGCACTCAGCAGCATGTCAGTGTGCTTCCTGGGGAGCTGGCAGCAGGGGCTTCAGGCCCTGCTTCAGGGCTGCTTTCTTGCATATGGCTGATCCCCTCCTCACTCCTCCTCCCTGCATTGCTCCTGCACAAGAAGCAAAGGTGATGGGCATGGCTCATCCTGGCTCCTCTAAGGTGGTTCTCGGTGGTTTCCAGATGTGACAGCGCCCTTAGTGGATGAGAGAGCTCCCGGCGAGCAGGCTGCCGCCCAGCCCCACATGGAGATCCCAGAAGGAACCACAGGTGAGGGTGAGCCCCAGTGACCCCCAGGCAGTCAAGGCCCTGCCCGGTGCCCCAGCTGACCTGCGACAGAAGTGAGGGCACTTTGCGTGTTTATCCTCCTGTGGGGCAGGAACATGGGTGGATTCTGGCTCCTGGGAATCTTGGGTTGTGAGTAGCTTGATGTCTTGGTGCCCAGCTACCTCCCTGGCTGCCTGCCAGCCTCTCAGAGCATTTAGGGCCTTCTGGACTTCTTCTAGATGCTCCTCATCTTGCCTCAGTCAGCCCATCAGTTCCAGGGAGTTCTCTGCAGGATTTTCTGGGGCAGGTGGTGGCAGACCCGTGCCTTCTTGGCACCTGAGGTCAGTCCACCCTCCTGCTCAGACTGTCCGGCACAGGGCCACCTCCCAAGGGGTGGACCCAAAGATCACCTGAGCACACAGAGGGTGCAGATGACTGGACCGCATCTTTTGGTGATCTTAATGAGGTGGTCCCAGAGGAGCTGAGACATGTGATCTAGCATCCAGTTCTGGGACTCTGTCTCCTTTTCAAACATATTCATGTAGGACAGGCATGACAAGAATGCCTTGTCAACACGGGTGATGGGGAATTGATCGGACAGGGCGCTGGGCTCAAGGCTGCAGTCACCCAAGAGTGGCTCAGCTCCCCAGGCCCTAGGAAACGCCCGCACAGCCTGGAGCTCCTGGAGTCATTTCCTTCACGTCTTCTTCACTGCACTTACGTAAAGATGCCAGCCATTGGTTTGGTGATTTGGAGGGTGCCCAGTTGCCCAACAAGAAATGCAGAAGAGGCCTAGACAGGATTTCATGAGCAATGGAGAGCAGGGAAGATGTGCCCAGAAAAGAGTTTCTTTTCCTTCCTAAAGATGGTGCTCCCTGCAGCTACTGGGGAAGCCTGCAGCGTTCTCTAGGGCTCTGTGTGTTGAGACCAGCCCCACCCTGGCCCCTTCTGAGTGCATTTCTGCTTTGTGACTTGATCCGTGAGGTCCCCTGAGATGGGCAGAGGGAATGTCCTCGAAGCTGGGGCAGAGCCTCATCCTTGAACGTGAAGGATGTTTGAAGACCGTGGCACGATCACGGGATGAGATCACGGGGAACTTCAGTTTCTCTCCTCCTCTCCCTTCAGTTATTTCACTGGGGGAAATCCCTCCCCTGCCCAGAATGAAAACTCTAGCCAACTCTTGACTTTTCCATCACTCCAAAGTAATTGAAAGTACGTTAGTCTCCACAGTGGCAAAACACAGTGTGCAAATGCTAAATAATTAGAACAGCCAGTCCCATGTGACAGTCAAAGCTTCTAACTCCATTCAAAGTTGCCGCCATTCCCCTCGGGGACTGACGGGGAGGGGAGGGGTAGGAGAAACAGGAAGGTTCTTACTGAGTCGGTCCTGGTGGGAGCCATGTCACACTCCCTGCATAGGTTTCAAGGAGATACTCTTTCTCTCTCTCTCCATGGGGACCTTATTTGAATTCTTCTAGACTCTTCCCCCAGCCTGCCATCTCCAGCTATCCTCCCCTGAAGAGCCCTTCCTCTGCACTGGATTCTGGTGGCCATGTCATCTCCTCGGCCCTGTGGGAGTCTGAAGATCTGGCTGCAGCCTCACCTCTGAGGTCCTGCTGGTTGCCACCTCTTAGACATGATCTGAGGCTCCCATGCACTCTCTCTGACCTGTGCCCACATGGGGCCCACGGGAAACATGCTGGCAAGCAAACTGTGGGTGTGCGGACAGTTCTCAGGACTGTAGCATCTGTCCTTTGCTCTGCCCCCAAAGCAAGGCCAGCCCATCTTCCATCTGAGAATGGGCAGATTCTCAGTGTTCCTTGGTGGGGCCCTGATCATAGACCACCAGGTCCCTAACCAGAGGGGACACGCACCACATGTCCTCAACGTATTGACTTGAAACATTGTATTGGGACTGTGATGGGGGGTGGCCATGTAGCCACTCCCACCACCCCCAAGCCACTCTTTCCAAGGAAATCCTCCTAAAGATCCCTTTACACCCTCCGTGTGGTGGGGTGGTTCTAGAGTTGGGTGCATGTGCCTTCAGCTACTGACAATGCAGACCCTAGTTGGCACCTCGCTCTGGCCTATCCTGTTTGCTGTTCTTGGTGCTCCAGTGAAACTCCCCATGGGCCATCCAGTTAGGGTGCAGAGTGGCCACCCCCTTGCAGGATCCTGCCTTGCTGGAGAGCAGAGGGCCCTCCTGGCTCTTGTAAAACATTCCCCAGGGTACAGAGAGGCCATTGGTGATGTGAGGTCCAACCTCCACTGTGCCCTCCCTCCCTCCTTGGTGTTTCCAAGCAGCTCCCTTGCTGGGGTCAAGCGGTGGCAAAGACAGCGCAGCCTCCAATTTCTGACTCACGCCAGGCCCGGCTATCACAGCTCTGCGCTGGTGTGTGACAGCAAGGTGACTCACCCAGTGCCGTGGCAGTGACAGTGTCCAGGGAAGCCTCCACATGCTCTCTGTCTCAAGGACTCTGGCATTTAGTGGGATTTGCTGTCGCTCTGAGCCTTTCTACCATTGCCATCACCTTGTCAGAAACTCAGGCCGAATCTGCACTCAGAGCTGTGCCCAGGCAGTTGAGCCGACACTCGCTCAGTGATGTTGTCGCATGACAAGGCACTGTCACCACTGGGCCTCGTGGGCAGCGCAGTGTCGGCTAGATGGACCCAGAGGGTGTCGGTGTCATGCTAGTGCTAGTGATGGGAGCCCCCTGAGCCCATTGCCTACCCTCCCATCCCCTTAGCAGCTGCTTGGGGACAACCAATGGCCTGGGTGTTTCTGAGGCTACCACATGGCTGCCAGGAACCTCGAGAACCTTTCTCTCCCTTGCCTACAGTCTTCACACAGGCCTGTGCTGGCCAGTGGTGGGGATCCAGCATTCCTGTCTTAGGTGCAGAGAGTGACTGACTCATTGCAGGCCTGGGAGATAAGACTGATGGCCCGACCAGCATCATGTATGCATTTCTCAGAGGCAGTGACCTCTATCACTGCCCTCAGGAAATGCTGGTGATTCTGGTGGCCTGAGGTCAGTGCATGTCAACGTGGCCAACTTGCCTTATAAACTCTTCTTCTGGACAATTGCATGCATTGTCCTGTAACAGTGTCCTGTTGTTTATGATGCAGAAATTGGTGTTTTTAAAGCACGTTGATTTTGGTACTATTGATGTGGTCAGGAACTTTCTCAGTCTTTCTTGTTTGGGGTGAGCTGTGGCTTCCTAAACAGGAACCCAAGATACCCCCAAAAACTGCTCAGTAGCACTGCCAGCCTCCCTCTTACCAAGTAAGTAGCACCCATTCAGGGCATTCTGTGAAAGGCATTTGCCCAGAAGTTGGGAGGAAGGAAACGTAACATTTTGGGGCACCTACCATATGCCAGGCACCAGGCTAAACGTGTTCACACAAATTCTCTTACTAACCCTCACCATCCTTCTACAAGACAAACTAGTATCTTCATCTTGGGGTTCTAGATGAGGAAATGGAGGCTCAGAGAGGTTGAATGAATGCTGGTGCCTGGATACGAACTCCGTCTGCCTGACTCCACAACCCAGGCAAAGTCTTTCGTTGAACTTCCCGGCAGCCACTGCTTAGACACAGCCTCCACGACCACGGCTCAGCAGCAAACTGCTTCTCTGACCTCACTCAGCCTGTGTGTCCTTGTGGAGTGGGGCATTCAGGGCCCCAGTGGAGAAAGTCTTTCCTACTAGGTCATAGCCACACCTGCATGTGGGTGCTGTGCATTTTATTTAGTGAACTTTTACCACCAGCATCCTCAGCAATGACATTTGCAGAGAAGCCAGAGCTGAGGCACCTTAGTATTCTTGGGACGTGACTTTCCTGAATGTTTTAGGGAAAATACCAGAAGACACAGAGAGCTTGGTTTCTAGCAAACAATAACTGTTTTGCTTTTACCCCCCTTCATTTGCTGACACATACACCAGCTGAGGAAGCAGGCATTGGAGACACCCCCAGCCTGGAAGACGAAGCTGCTGGTCACGTGACCCAAGGTCAGTGAACTGGAATTGCCTGCCGTGACTTTGGGGTTGGGAGGAGGGACATGGGGTGGGCTCTGCCCTGAAAAGATCATTTAAATGGACCCGAGCCCTAATTCACAAATCCAGGAGATTTTAGGGAGTTGGTTCTTATCAAAGGTTGGCTACTCAGATATAGAAAGAGCCCTGGTGGTTTTTTTCTAATACCATTTCTGGGCAATTCCTAAGGCATTTAGAGTTCTGAAAGACCTAGTCCGACCTGGGAGCTGAGAATGAATGTCTAACAGGAACTCTAGGCTGGGTATGGTGACTCACACCACTAATCCCAACACCACGCGGGCCGATCCACCCTGAGGTCAGGCAAATTTGACGACCACGCACCTGGCCCAAATGGTGAAATCCTGTCTCACTAACAAATAAAAAAATTAGCCCAGGCGTCCATCGGCTGGCTAACACAGTGAAACCCCCATCATCTACTAAAAAGATACAAAAATTAGCCAGGTGTGGTGGCGGTGCCTGTCGTCGCCAGCTACTCGGGAAGCTGGGGCAAGGAGAATGGCCTGAACCCGAGGAGCGGAGCTAACGTTGTGAGCGAGGCTCCGCGGCCACTGCACTCCAGCCTGGGGCAACAGAGCGAGACCTCCTCTCAACACACACACAAAAAAAATTATGCTGGCGTGGTGGTGGGGCCTGTAATCCCAGCTACTCAGGAGGCTGAGGCAGGACAATCGCTCGAACCCAAGAGGCGGACATTGCAGGGAGCCGAGATCATGCCATTGCACTCCAGCCTGGGCAACAAGAGCGAAACTCTGTCTCAAAAAGAAAAAAGAAACTCAAATACAGCGATTCTCACTGCAGGCTGCCCTCTGGCCGATCCAGGAGCAAGGCCTTAACCATGTCACCCCCAAGCGATTGCTTTTAAACTTTCTTCTCTGCAGCCTTCAACCCTTAAGATTTTCTTCTCAGGTATCAGACTGCCGTGTTCAAGAAAGACAGCTTTGTGTAATCATTTATCATAAATATCTTAAGAACTTTAAAAATCCTAGAGATTCCTAACTTTAGGAAATGGGAGACCTGTGATACTGATATAATGTGGGCTGGGCTTGTTTTCTGTCATTTGCTAGATAAATGAACTTGAAAGCCTACTGTAAAATGTGGAAGCTTCTAGATTGCAAAAGGGCTGGGAAGATGCTGTTCTTTTCTCCCGAGTGATGAGCTCTGTCCAGTGTTCAGAGCTGCCTCTGAGGCCGTCTGATCCTAGGAGACTCTGCCTCGTTGAGGGAATTTTGAGGCCTAACTACACATTCCTGCCCCCAGAGAGGTCACAGCCTATAGCAGGCTGACGTTTCTCATCTCACATGGCACAGAAAGGCACATTTTCATTCTTAGGCTAACAAAGAGCTTCAAAAACTAGAAGCTTGGCTCCTGTTTCTTTTAGGTCATGTTTTTCAACTTAGGTAAAACTAGAGGTTTTGATAACGTATGACCTCTAGAAATCATTGCTTTCCATAAATAGAAGTGGATCTGAGTTTTTTCTACTGATTTTTAGTGCAGGCTATGTCTACATGCCCACAGAACATATTCCATGCAAGAGAAAAAGCCCAGGCCACCATCTTTGCTGGGAACTTGACTTTTGCACTCACTGAATTTTAAGCTTTCTGACAGCAGCCTGGAATCATGGAGGGATAAAGTACCTATTAGTAAGATGGAAAAAGGTGTTTCAGGATGGAGCTGCAGTCTTTTGAGAGTAAGCCATGGGAAGGCCTGTATACGATGGGTGGACTTTTCTTCTGTAAGTGTCTAGAGACCAGGCCTCCTGAAGAGGGCATGGGGGCTTAACTTACCTGGACTACTGTGTTTACAATACTCATTTATCTCGAACTCCTCCTAACCCCTGAGAATTGCTACATTTAATATCTGCTGAGTACTTCCTAGCATTCTCCCAACCAGGCTGGGTGCTGTGGCTCATGTCTATAATCCCAGCACTTTGGGAGGCCAAGGCAGGCAGATTTCTTGAGGCCAGAAGTGTGAGACTAGCCTGGCTGACATCGTAAAATCCCATCTCTACTAAAAATACAAAAGTTAGCCGGGCATGGTGGTATACACCTGTAATCCCAGCTACATGGGAGGAGTAGGAGGCAGGAGAGTTGCTACTGAGGCAGGAGAATTGCTTGAACCTGGGAGGTGGAGGTTGCTGTGAGCCGAGATCATACCACTGCACTCCAGCCTGGGCGACAGAGTGAGCGAGAGTCTGTCTCAAAAAAGAAAAAAAAAAAAGAACGTTCTCCTAACCTGGCTTCTTCCTCCAGGGGTGTAATTAATCATGTCAGTTTCCTCATTGATACACACACACCCCCACACCTACACACGCTGTACAATCCTGTATCCATTACTTTTCAAGGTACGTTTACTATTTATGTTTGGGATCCTTGTCTCTTTTTTAATAGTGTTTCTTAAAGTCTTGTATTATATCAGAGTACTGTAACATCACAGTCAAGAGCACTCTAGTAAGCTCTAGGAGGAAAGCGCCTTCCGGAAGGCAGTGGAGACCTATCCTGTTGGGGCGGCATAGGGGCAGCCCCTGTCTCTGGTCAGTTCTGGCGCTCAGGCTCAGGGTTGCCTGTAGGCTGCTCTTCCCAGAGACTGACTAAGGGCTCTCATAAGGCACCTGCAGACCCTGTAAGAAGCAGAAGTCAGTGTTTCCTGACACCAGTTGATACGTTCAGGATCCACTGATTAAACCACCTGCTGTGTGGCATGCATTGTGGTCGATGCCAGAAATAGGAATTGGAGGGGCCCATGAGCATAGCCAGTATCAGACTGAAGGTGCTGCTGGAGGTGCTGCTGCGCTGTGACCAGGCCTCTTGGGGATGAGCCCGTGGCAACCACCCTGCCTCCGATGGGGTCGGGCCCACATGTTACCTGTGTGTGTCCATGACCACACCTTCCTCCCCCACCTCATCCAAATTTCTTTCTTTTCCAAGCCCCCGAATCCTTCAGGGCTGCAGGTTTTGTTTAAAGCAGAGCTGGTGAGTTGCATGGGTTGTTGTGTTGCGACTAGATGGGGTGTTCAAAGAGTTGGGAGTTAAAAAACATAAAGGGTGCTTATTAGGAGAACCAAGGAGTATAATTGTCCTGTTCTTAATATGCAGCCAGATTAATGAATGTCACATGAATGAACCAGAAAAACATGAAGTGTGCCCTTGATCAGCTGGGTTGGTGTGCAGCAAGCTGTGTGACCAAGGGACAGCAGTGCTCCTGGGGGCCGTCACTGTCTGCTGTGCAGAGCCCTTCCTCCCACGGGAGCCTACCTCACCTGTGCAAGGGGCTTGTCTGTGGTCAGTGACCTGGATAGATCTGAATGGGGCTTATTTTTTGAGGAGTCTTATAGCAGGTCTATTAGTAAAGACTCTATTCTTGATGATCACACATTTTGGATTTTCCAAATCTATCAGAGGATGGACTTGAGGCACAGTTTGTAGACACTAGTTTCACTGGTTTCATTTACCAAAAAGGGGAGCAGAAGTCAAGTATGGTGGCTCATGCCTGTAATCCCAGAGGCAGGAGAACTGCTTGAGCCCAGAAATTCGAGACCAGCCTAAGCAACATAAGGAGACCTGTCTCTACAAAAATAAAAAATAACATCTTAGTCAGACGTGGTGGCGTGCCTCTGTGGTCCCAGCTACTCGGGAGAGTGAGATGGGAGGATCGTTTGAGCCCTGGAGTTAAAGTTGCAATGAGCTGTGATTGCACCACTGCACTCTAGCCTAGGTGACAGAGCGAGACCCTGTCTCAGAAAAAAAAAAAAAAAAAGAAAAGAAAAAAGAAAGAAAAAAACTCACACCTGTAATCCCAGCACTTTGGGAGGCCGGGGTGGGCGGATCACACGGTCAGGAGATTGAGACCATCCTGGCCAACATGGTGAAACTCCATCTCTACTAAAAACACAAAAATTAGCTGGGTGTGGTGGCGGGTGCCTGTAATCCCAGCTACTCAGGAGGCTGAGGCAGGAGAATCACTTGAACCAGGGAGCCGGAGGTTGCAGTGAGCCGAGATCGCGCCACTGCACTCCAGCCTCGGCAACAGAGTGAAACTCTGTCTCAAAAAAAAGGGAGGCGGGGGAACAGTGAGAGGTAGGGAGAGGAAAGGGGATTCTCGCTACACCCAAGCCAGGTACCATCTAGAGGCTAGACTCTTTGGGAAGCTCAAATTCCCTAGAAAGCAGGAGAAGCTTCTGTAGCCCTCCCGCTTTCCCAGTAGATTAAGCCCATGAGCCCAAGGCGGCTCTAGATGTGTGACATGCTCTGTGCCCAACCAGAGCCCATCACAGGCAGAGGAATAACACCCACACCAGAAGGGCCCTCAGAGGTCACCACGTTCAGGAATCCTCTTTACAGATGAGGAAACTGAGGCCCAGAGAGGGGAGGACCTAGGGAGCTGGTGGCAGCTAGACCAGGAGAGTTGTCATTCCAAGCAAGCAAAGGCAACGAGATGAGCCCAGAGCTGTGCTCCCATCTCTTTGTTAGGGGGCCTAGGATGCCCTCTCAATGTCATTTTGTCCAGGATGATGCTCCCTCTCTTAAGCAATTAATGCGCCCTTGTTAACCTTTTGCTATCGCTGCCTCTTCAAACCAGAGGAGTTGAGAGTTCCGGGCCAGCAGAGGAAGGCACCTGAAAGGCCCCTGGCCAATGAGATTAGTGCTCATGTCCAGCCTGGACCCTGCGGAGAGGCCTCTGGGGTCTCTGGGCTGTGCCTGGGGGAGAAAGAGCCAGAAGCTCCCATCCCACTGACCGCGAGCCTTCCTCAGCACCGTCCCATTTGCCCAGCGCCTCTTCCAACAGGAGGCCCTCGAGAGCCCTCCCAGGAGTGGGGACCAAAAGGTGGGGACTGGGCCGAGAAGGGTCCGACCTTTCCGAAGTCCGCCACCCCTGCGTATCTCCACACAGAGCCTGAAAGTGGTAAGGTGGTCCAGGAAGTCTTCCTCGGAGAGCCAGGCCCCCCAGGTCTGAGCCACCAGCTCGTGTCCAGCATGCCTGGGGCTCCCCTCCTGCCTGAGGGCCCCAGAGAGGCCACACGCCAGCCTTCAGGGACAGGACCTGAGGACACAGAGGGTGGCCACCACGCCCCTGAGCTGCTCAAGCACCAGCTTCTGGGAGACCTGCACCAGGAGGGGCCGCCACTGAAGGGAGCCGGGGGCAAAGAGAGGCTGGGGAGCAAGGAGGAGGTGGATGAAGACCGCGACGTCGATGAGTCCTCCCTGCAAGACTCCCCTCCATCCAGGGTCTCCCCAGTCCAAGATGGGCAGCCTCCCCAGACAGCCGCCAGAGAAGCCACCAGCGTCCCAGGCTTCCCAGCGGAGGGTGCCATTGCCCTCCCTGTGGATTTCCTCTCCAAAGTTTCCACAGAGATCCCAGCCTCTGAGCCCGAGGGGCCCAGTGCAGGGTGGGCTGAAGGGCAGGACGTGCCCCCTGAGTTCACGTTCCACGTGGAAATCACACCCAACGTGCAGAAGGAGCAGGCGCACCCGGAGGAGGATTCGGGAAGGGCTGCATTTCCAGGGGCTCCTGGAGAGGAGCCAGAGGCCCGGGGCCCCTCTCTGGGAGAGGACACAAAAGAGGCTGACCTTCCAGAGCCCACTGAAAAGCAGCCTGCTGCTGCTCCGCGGGGAAAACCCGTCAGCCGGGTCCCTCAACTCAAAGGTCTGTGTCTTGAGCTTCCTCGCCCCTTCCCTGGGGACCTCCCGGGCCTCCCAGACTGCGGTTACTGCCACTGAGCTTCAGGCCCTCCCAACTCCTGCTGCTTCCGACATTCCTAGGACGCCACTAAACCGACTCCTGGGTGCAGCTGCTCCACTCCCTCAGTCTCCTCCCGTGCTCAGGCTGTGGCCACACGCGCCCCTCACGCTTGCCTGCCACTCTGCATGTCACCAGCACCCCCGCCGCGTGCTCCCCACCTTGTTTGACTCTCTGGCCACTTGATGTGTCCACAATGGCCCATCAGCCCACAGGAGGTTGGTGGGTGCCCTCCACCGGCAGGGTGGCAGCTTCCCTCACGGTGTCTAGAACTCGCCAACCCTCCCATGTAGGCACAAGCAGCCCCACTTTGCAGATGAGGAAACGGAGGCCCAGAGAAGTGCAGTAATTTGCCGAAGGTCACTGAGTAGTAAGTGACAGAGCCAGGTTTGGGATCCAGGTAGGTTGGCTCTGAAAGACATACCTGTCCTGCATCCCACAGCGCCTCCCAGGAGGTGCTGGAGTGTGGACTCCTAACACGGAGATGGGCAGGGTACACACAGCAGGCGACACACACAGCATTCATAGGTGGCCCAGAGCCCACACTGTGCCTTTGGCCCAGCACCCTGCCCCCACCCGCTCTGCCTTGTGGCAGGAAGATGAGGAGCAGACACAAGATCTCCCTGGTCCACATGCCGCCACCGCCCTCAGCAGAGGACGAGGAGATCCGCATGCTGGCATTGCAGGGGGCTGAGCAAGGCCCATCTTGAGCCCTCAGGAGCATGACCACAGCAGCCCCGCAGGGTGGGATTGGTGTGGGGAGAGTCCCAAGTATCAGGGAGAGGAGAGTTGGTGTCCCACGGGAGACCTCATAGCCACAAGGCAAGCTTGTCCATAAATTTGGGGCCCTTGGAATTTCACAGTTATTTGCCAAGCCCAGAAATGGATGTTACTGAAGCTCACAGTTGCAAGCATCTGTTAAATTTTTATTAGATTTTACTTTTAGAGAAAACTTTGAAATGCTATAGATAAAGAAGCCTGTGTTGAAAAGTTAACACAGAGGCCAGGCACGGTAGCTCATGCCTGTAATCTCAGCACTTTGGGAGGCCGAGGCAGGTGGATCACTTGAGGTTAGAAGTTCGAGACCAGTCTGGCCAACATGGTGAGACCCTGTCTCTATTAAAAATACAAAAAAATTAGCTGGGCATGGTGACGGGCACCTGTAGTCCCAACTATGGGGGAGGCTAAAGCAGAAGTGCTTGAATCCAGGAGGCAGCAGTTACAGTGAGCCAAGATCACACCACTGTACCCCAAGCCTGGGCGACAGAGCAAGACTCTGTCTCAAAAAATGAAATGAAGTAAAATAAAATAAAGTTAAGAGAGAAAAAGTATATCCTATATCCTATAACAGTAGGGGACAAATAACTGACCTGACAGGTTACTACAATATTTCCTGAAATGATGTTTTCTTGACTGCTGGCCTACTGGAGATGTGTCTGGGTTAAAAAAGAGTTCCATGGCCCAGTGACTGCGGGATAAAAAAAAACAGACTAAACTAAGTTAAACAGGCTTTTCTGCTGCTGGACTTGTCAGAACCTTTAACGTACTAACAGTCATTGTGACCCTCTGAGAAGGTCACAAGTGGGTTTCCCAAACTTACTTGATTCTACCTGCTAACATTTCCTGGAGGAGGACTTGTTCAGTGCTTCTGCAGTTTGGGAAATGTTGATTTAGCAGGTGATTTTGTTGTGCCATGGATGGTGCTGGCTGATGTGGGCAAAGGAAAGAACACGTGAGTCAGATCCGCCTGGGGCTCTTATTAAAGTGCAGGTTACCGGGGCCACTTTCGGCTTACAAACCCAGTTGTGGGGTAAGCCTGGGAGTCTTTTAGCAGGTGATTCTGCCATATAGTATAGTTGGAAAACCTCTGGGCATACTCATTGCTGGTCCCTCTAGAAATCCAGGTGACAATAGCCAACGAGAAGCTCCAAGAGACTCGATTGTCTGTGGGGTAGAGGGAATATGATATTAAAACCAAAGAAGAAAATCTATCATCAGTTTTCAGCAGTGACTGTCAAGAGAAGGAGAAGAGTGAGTTAGCACTGATGCTGGCAGACAGGTCAATGGGTTGGTTTCACCAGGGAGTGTGATGAAGGCTGATGTTGTCTGTGGGAATGTATGATGGTAACTGGTTTGTAGCTAACTGCAACAAACCAGTTACAGGGGGAAGCGGTGAGGATTTGTGCCCTTCGAAGACCAGCAAGTGGCAAGAAACCCACCAGGCCTGGCTTAGCGCTGGGCCGGGCTTGGCTCGTCTGAGAGCAGCTGGGGCTGGTGGCCAAAGCCCCTATTAGTGAGGGGTAAGCTTTGGGGGTACAACCAGCAACTAGGGGACAAAGACAAGCCTGCCAGGCTCTCCTATTCTGGAGGCAGGTGACCAGGAATGGAGATGGGGTGGTCAGCATAAGATGGCCAGGAAGGTGGGAATCAGGGCTGCTGGCAATCTAGCCGCATGGGCAAGGGAGCTGGGTGACTCCAGGCAGTTTCCAAGGCCCAGAGGGTGAGCAGGCACCTCGCAGGGAAGCAGGGCCAAGCCTGGCTGCAGTGTGGAGACAACTCACCCACCCCCATCCTTGGATCTTGCAGGAGGCTGGGTCCTCACTGAGCTACCAATATCCATGGCCCTGAGGCTTTTAAAACACCTGTCCGTGGAGTGGGGCTGGTCCCAGTGGGGTGAGGCTGACCCTGGCAGAAACAGGGCAGGAGCCTGTGGGTTAGGGAGACTGCACCTTCCTTAGATAGCCTCTGTGTCATCATGTCCCTGTGACAGTTTCTGCTGCGTCCCTTCTGCATGGTCCCACCCTCAGCCAGCCTGCTGCCCCCTCTTGCCAGGTTGCTCTAATCAGTGACCCCAGTGTGCTATGCTGATACTAACAATGTGAGACCTAGCACATTCAAGGGAGAAGAGAACCAACTGGTTTCCACCAGACCCAACTAAACAAAACACGGACCTATCCCAGAGAAATGCAACTTCACCACAGCTGGCTGTTTCTGTGAACAGTGAAAATGGAGTGTGACAAGCATTCTTATTTTATATTTTATCAGCTCGCATGGTCAGTAAAAGCAAAGACGGGACTGGAAGCGATGACAAAAAAGCCAAGGTAAGCTGACGATGCCACGGAACTCTGCAGCTGGTCCAGTTTACAGAGAAGCTGTGCTTTATATCTGATTCATTCTCATATATAATGTGGAGAGCATTTGTCACTAAAGCACAGCTGTCATTTAAAGTGCTTTGTATTTTGGGGCAGGCTTTTTAAAAGTCCAGCATTTATTAGTTTTGATACTTACCCCAGGGAAGAGAAGTTGGCAGGTTCATGAAGTCATGCTGCTAATTCCAGCTTTCTTAGTGTAGTTTCAGTGAGACCCTGACAGTAAATGAAGGTGTGTTTGAAAACCAACCCCAGGACAGTAAATGAAATTGTGTTTGAAAACCAACCCCAGGACAGTAAATGAAGCCATCTGCTCACTGCATAAACTGCACCTGATCTTTGCCCATCCTTCTCAGTATTTCACTTCACCCATCGTTTACTCCCTCAATGACTTGGTGTCTGGGAAAATGCTCCCGTAATTGCACAGTGGCGTTTTTCCTGGAAAATCCCACCATGGCTCTAGATAAGACCTATTTTTCTTAAAGGTATCTAAAATTTCCAGCATAAATTCTGTCTGAAACAGCTGAATTTTAATCAGTCCTGGAGCCCAGAGGGCATCTCCAGTTGCCACATAGCTCTGAGCGTTCGGTGGTGTGTTGGTGTGTTGGGGGCTGCTCCCGGAAGTGCCTGCAGAGTCAGGGCTCCCCAGCCTCACCTAGTGAGGCAGCGGAAGGGCCTGCGGCAATTTGGAGAGCTGCCATTTGGGTCCCTGAAGTGATAGTGACAGCTGCTTGTCAATCATGGTGCACATTTAGTGCCGGGGGCAGGGGTCAGGGAATACCAGCCTCATGCATGCATGCATTCGTTCATTCATTCATGCAGCACACATGGGTACGACATCCCTGCCCTGGAGTTGCCTAGATTCTAGGGAGGGGAAAGATCTATTACCGTGGACCTTGGCCAGGTGGGGAGTGCTGCTGGTGGAGAGGGGCCATGTGCAGCGAGGAAGGAGGGGTCATCAATACCCCCACCCCAGCTTTGCTTTCTTGTCATCAGCCCCAGGGCCCCAGCCTGTGTCCCTCCTCTCCCATTACTGCTTCATCTCCTGGGTTCTCCTTACCAAGCCTGGCCACACAGAGGGTCTCGGCCGCTTCCATGGGGAATTGGAAAGCAATAAGATAACATCCCCAAGAAGCCCAATGAAGTCTGGGTCAGGACCCTTCTCTGAGCTGACTCGCTCTCGGAAACACTTCGAGGCTTAGCCTCCCCACTTTGTTTTCTGAGAGCGCTACCTCTTCCCCTCCAAACATCCCCTTCTCCTCTGGGGCCATGCCCACCCATCAAAATCCCCCATGGGTAGGCTGAACTGTGGGTGTCAGTCACCATCTATCCCACATCCCGGTTCCAGGTCTCCCCACCCCCCGCCGCCTCCACAGGGACAGGTATGCAGACACGTGTCTCTGGCTGCTTCCTCATGTGGAATGGGTTCAAAAGTTAGCAGTGTTGCCGGGCGCGGTGGCTCAAGCCTGTAATCCCAGCACTTTGGGAGGCCGAGGCGGGTGGATCACGAGGTCAGGAGATCGAGACCATCCTGGCTAACATGGTGAAACCCCGTCTCTACTAAAAATACAAAAAACTAGCCGGGTGTGGTGGCGGGCGCCTGTAGTCCCAGCTACTCGGAGGCTGAGGCAGGAGAATGGCGTGAACCTGGGAGGCGGAGCTTGCAGTGAGCCGAGATCGCGCCACTGCACTCCAGCCTGGGTGACACAGCGCGAGACTCCGTCTCAAAAAAAAAGTTAGCAGTGTTGTTTACACTGGCAAACTGAAAAAAAGAAAAAGAGAAAACATTGGAGGCTTGGCACAGTGGCTCATGCCTGTAATCCCAGCACTTTGGGAGGCTAAGGTGGGAGGACCTCCCGAGCCCAAGAGTTCTAGACCAGCCTGGGCAACATAGCAAGACCCCCATCTCTAAAACGAAAATTTAATTGGCCAGGCAGTGGTGGGAGGATCACTTGAGCCCAAAAGGTAGAGGCTGCAGTGAGCCGTGATGGCACCACTGCACTCCAGCCAGGGCAACAGAGGGAGACCCTGTCTCTAAAACCAACAATGACAAAAAAAGAGTTAACATTGGCCAGATTAGGATTCACCAAATAGTGTTAATATTAGTTTGATTTGAGACTTTAATCAGAAAGCACATGTGTGGTGGGGGTGGGCATAACCTAAGATAGAATCTTTCCAATGTGGGGTGGGCACACTCCTGATTGAGTCTATCAGTGTGGTGGAAGAGGCCATGGGTTAATGGGCAGGCAAAAAAGCCCCTTGCCTGGAATTGAGTAGAAAGTAAGGCCCTTCAGACCCATGACACACTTGGCGACATTTTCTTGAGTAACATCCTAAGATTCATGTACCTGATGATCTCCGTCAACTTACTCATGTGAAGCACCCTTACACCAGTGGTCTCCAAATTCAGGGGCACAGTCACATCTAACAGGCTGGAGAAAGAACATACTAGAACTTCCATTCCTTTGTCATGTCCTCTTCTAAAAGCTTTGTCAGATGTGAGTTGAGTAAGTTGGTCATATAAGAAGTATGACTGGGGAGGATGGTCACTTTCCTGTTCTTACTGATCAGATGGGATGTTAAGGGTACCTGATTCAAACAGCCTGGAGATCACTGCTTTCAACCATTACCTGCCTTATTTATTTTTAGTTACTGTCCTTTTTTCAGTTTGTTTTCCTCCTCCATGTGCTGACTTTTATTTTGATTTTATTTATGTTTATGTTTAAGACATCCACACGTTCCTCTGCTAAAACCTTGAAAAATAGGCCTTGCCTTAGCCCCAAACACCCCACTCCTGGTAGCTCAGACCCTCTGATCCAACCCTCCAGCCCTGCCGTGTGCCCAGAGCCACCTTCCTCTCCTAAATACGTCTCTTCTGTCACTCCCCGAACTGGCAGTTCTGGAGCAAAGGAGATGAAACTCAAGGTAAGGAAACCACCTTTGAAAAGAACCAGGCTGCTCTGCTGTGGTTTGCAAATGTGGGGTGTTTTTTGTTTTTTGTTTTTTTAGCCTCAAAGACCTTTCTTCAAATGAGCTCTGACACAGAAGCACCGTGTAAATAGTTAGAATTCTGGGCAAAGAGGAAAAGAGAGCTGGGGGCCGTACCTTTCAGCACCCCACAGGCTCTCATAGCAGCAGCCCCTCAGACACCTGGTGGGACCTTGGTTTCGAAATTGCTACTCTAAGGCTGGGCGCGGTGGCTCACACTGTAATCCCAGCTCTTTGGGAGACCGAGGAGGGTGGATCACCTGAGGTCAGGAGTTCAAGACCAGCCTGGCCAACATAGTGAAACCCTGTCTCTACTATAAATACAAAAATTAGCCGAGCATGGTGGTGTGCACCTGTAATTGCAGCTACTCGGGAGGCTGAGGCACAAGAATTGCTCGAACTCCAGTAGCAGAGGTTGCAGTGAGCCAAGATTGTGCCACTGGGCTCCAGCTTGGGTGACAGAGCAAGACTCTGTCGCAAAATTTTTTTTAAAAACAAACCCAAAATGGCTACTCTCATTAGGTTCCTTTACCCATTCCTGATTTTGATAACAGAAATGCTTCCAGATTGCCCTGATCTGGGTAGGACAGCATCAGGCCACAGCAACACTGCCCTGTGAGCCCACTCCCCCCCTGGACTAGCTTGTGGTCCTTAGTTAATGTCAGTTTCTTCTTTGAGTTTGTGTTATGCAAGGGTCATCTGCTGGGTAGCCGAACCCAGGGACTGCCCTAGTCCCTAGACTATGCCATGCCCGACTCTGCCAGCTTTGTCAGTGATGCTGGTGCTCCCCTCCTCGGGTGCTCACCTGCTCTGAGCACACCCAAGGAGTTCCTGACGCCTTAGGGTTGTATGGGAGAGAATGAAAGAACACAACGTAGCTCTCTTTAGCATCCTTGGCCAGGTTCAACACTGTCTCCAAGGGCCTCTGGTGGAACCAACCACCATCAGCCAAATAAATCCATAATTAGAGTCAGAAAATGGATATCCGCCTATGCATAGTGCACTAATGTCCTGCCGATTGATTGACATGGAGTGGAGAGTGACTTGATCATTGCTGTAAGCTCTGCTGGCCTTGGCACAACTCATGCTGATAACCAATGCACACAGTTCCTCTGAGAGGAAATGTCCTCAGGGAACTTGGAGTTTGGGTGGGGATGTGGAATTGTGTGCCCAGCAAGCCCTCATGATTGTAGCAGACACTTGTGGCATCTAGAAGGCAAAGGGTCACCCCAGTCTTAACCACGTTTTGAGTCAAGGTGCGGAGTGGGGCTGGTGTTGACTCGGTGGCAGCAACTTTTCCCAACGGTGAAAAAACCCTCGACCATGTTTCATTTACAGGGGGCTGATGGGAAAACGAAGATCGCCACACCCCGGGGAGCGGCCCCTCCAGGCCAGAAGGGCCAAGCCAATGCCACCAGGATTCCAGCAAAAACCCCGCCTGCCCCAAAGACACCACCCAGCTCTGGTAAGAAGAATGTTCTCTTGAATCTTAGAGGAAGCTGAAGCTCTCAGAGGTACAGCCTTCATTTTAGGAGGCCTTAGGCCACTGAGAGTGAATGGCCCCTGGCAGCTGGTCAGCACCTTGCAGTTCACTAAGCACCGGAGTCTTCATTTCCTTTGCAGTTCTTCTGATTTCTGAGGCAGATGTTGAATCCCCACGTCTTTGTTTGTTTGTTTTGTTTTGTTTTGTTTTTGAGATGGAGTTTCGCTCTTGTTGCCCAGGCTGGAGTGCGGTGGCGCGATCTCAGCTCACTGCAACCTCCACCTCCCAGGTTTAAGCAATTCTCCTACCTCAGCCTCCCTAGTAGCTGGGATTACAGGCACCTGCCACCACGCCCGGCTAATTTTTTTATTTTTAATAGAGACGGGGTTTCGCCATGTTGGCCAGGCTGGTCTCGAACTCCTGACCTCAGGTGATCCACTTGCCTTGACCTCCCATAGTGCTGGGATTACAGGCGTGAGCCACCACTGCCAGCCTGAATCCTCACTTTTTATCAGTGAAGAAATTGAGGCTGATTCTGCAGCATGATAAAAAAAATATATAGAAAAAGGGAAAAAAAAGAAAGAAATCGAGCCTCTGAGAGTTTGCTTGACTGAGTCTAACCAGCTCATTTTAAGCCTGAGGAAAATGTGGTCATATGGCTACTAAATGGCAGCTCTTGGAGCCTCTCTGGCCCCAAGTCCAGGGTTCCACAGAGGCAGCCCCAGCATGGTGTGTTTGCAGTCCCCAAATGCGACCGGAGACAAATGTCTCTGGAGACAGAGCAGCAGCCTGGATAGGTCACAATGGGTGACGTCACTTAGGGCTCAACCCCCAGGCAGCTTAACTTGCTGGGGACGTTAGGAGTCTGCTGCAAAACCTGAGGGTCTTAGCTGAGCAGTCGCAGGCTGGGCCCATTGCCCTGGGCTCCTGTGAGTAAAACCCAGTCAGTTTTGAGTACCCAGTAAGGCATCCATTTGGTTATTTTGCAGCCGGGGTGCTATTAAGAACAGTCACGGCTGGGCATGGTGGCTCACGCCTGTAATCCCAGCACTTTGGAGGCTGAGGAGGGTGGATCACCTGAGGTCAGGAGTTCGAGACCAGCCTGGCCAACATGGCAAAACCCTGTCTCTACTAAAAATACAAAAAAGTTAGCTGGGCGTGGTAGCAGATGCCTGTAATCCCAGCTACTCAGGAAGCTGAGGCAGGAGAATCGCTTGAACCCGGGAGGCGGAGGTTGCAGCGAGCCGAGATCATGCCATTGCACTCCAGCCTGAGCAACAAAAGCGTGAGACTCTTTCTCGAAAACAAACAAAACAAACAGGCCGGGCACAGTGGCTCATGCCTGTAATCCCAGCACTTTGGGAGGCCGAGGCGGGCGGATCACAAGGTCAGGAGGTCAAGACCATCCTGGCTAACTCAGTGAAACCCTGTCTACTAAAAATACAAAAAATTAGCCAGGCTTGGTGGTGGGCACCTGTAGTCCCAGCTACTCAGGAGGCTGAGGCAGGAGAATGGCGTGAACCTGGGAGGCGGAGCTTGCAGTGAGCCAAGATCGCACCACTGCACTCCAGCCTGGGCGACAGAGTGAGACTCCGTCTCAAAACAAACAAACAAAAAAACGAAGAAAACAGTCATCCTCTTTGGGGATTAGGGACAGCCTGCCTGAGCACTTCTCTCTCCCATTGCCCCAGTGAAGTGTTCCACCATTGGGTTTAGACCCTGCACCACGTAGGTGGTGCACTTGCTCCTTGGCAGTGTGCAGGCAGCCTGCACTTGCTCCTTGGCAATGTGCAGGCAGCCTGTGACTCTTGCTGCAGGCTGTGGCCAAAGCCTGGCCTGGATCTTGGTGACTCTACTTCTCCCTGGCCTGAGGGAGCTGCCCAGAGCCTTCCTGTCACCTGCTGCCTGTCTTTGCAGTGGCATTTCACACACACATGTGGTGCGGTGGCAGCCCCAAGGATGGCCGTTCACTAAGGCCCATTGTTTTTGTCTTTTCGCTTCGTGTTTTCTGGCCTGGTGTTCTTCTCATATACATGGTGATCCAGGGATAATTCCCAGAATTTTGACAGGATTTTAGGTAGGGTTTGGATCCTGCTGTTTTTTTCACTTAACATGGGGCCAGTTGACTCACACGCTGTTTTTTGTTGTTGTTTTTTTGTGTCGCCCACTGTGTCGCCCAGGCTGGAGTGCAGCGGCATGATCTTGGCTCACTGCAACCTCTTCTTCCCAGGTTCAAGCAATTCTCCTGCCTCAGCCTCCTGAGTAGCTGGGACTATAAGCACAGGCCTCCAAGCCCTGCTAATTTTTGTATTTTTAGTAAAGACAGGGTTTCACCATGTTGACCAGGCTGGTCTCGAACTCCTGACCTCAAGTGATCCGCCCACTTCGGCCTCCCAAAGTGCTGGGATTACAGGGGACTCACACTTTGTAACAACCTGAAACAAGGTCATGCATTTCCCTTTGGGTCTTACCTGCTCTTCGGTGGCTGCCTGCATGTGGAGAGACCCTCCCCCTTGGGCCTCCTCCACCTTGTTTCAGAATGGGGCCTCTGCTGGGCTGGCCGTGGGTGCCTGCCATGTGAAGGACTCATTAAGGCCCCGTTTAAACCTGATGATAATGAGGTTTTTGTGGATTTTTCTCTTTAAGCGACCAAGCAAGTGCAGAGAAAACCACCCCCTGCAGAGCCCAAATCTGAGAGAGGTACTCAGGAGCCTGCTTCACTGGGAGCAGCCTCCCTTTGCATGTGTGGCTGTTCACTGGCTTGTGTTCCTAGAGCCGACAGGACCCTTTTCTGCAATGCAGGGTTCACACAGGGTTCGCAGCCTGAAGATGGAGCAGTCCGAATTCTCTTCCCCAGATTTTGTGCAGCTGTGTTTGTCCGATGGGCTTTCTAATCCTGTGTGCTCTCCTTGAATTCAGGGACAATGGCATTACAGGCATGAACCACCATGCATGGCTGTCTCCCTATTTTTCAGCTGAAGACATAGGCTTAGGGAGGTCAGGTGACTTGCCCAAGACCTCTCTGCAAGTAAGAGGCATGAAAAGGATTTGGAGCCACCACCACCAAGCCCATTGGTCACCCTGGGTCTCTGAAGTCAGGGAAGCAGGAGGATGGGAGATCTCAGGAGGCAGAGAGGCTGAGCCTGGAGGCCCTGGAGGCCGAGGCCCCATCTGTTGTTTCCTTATGTGGAAAAGAAGAGGCTTCGTGTGTTCTATTGCCACAAAGCTTGACTACTTCAGGAACATCCAAGACATGGAAATCAGCAGGGCACGGTGGCTAATGTCTATAATCCTGGCACTTTGGGAAGCTGAGGTGGGAGAATTGCTTGAGGCCAGAAGTTCAAGACCAGCCTGCGTAACATAGTCAGACCCCGTCTCTATAAAAAACATTATTTAAAAAAGAGACATGGAATTCTTTAAATCCTAAAAACTGGTGCTGGCTGGGCGTGGTAGCTCACGCCTGTATTCCCAGCACTTTGGGAGGCTGAGGCAGGTGGATCACCTGAGGTCAGGAGTTCAAGACCAGCCTGGCCAACATGGTAAAACCTCTGCTAAAAGAAGTCTCTACTGGCCAGGCATGGTGGCTCACGCCTGTAATCCTAGCACTTTGGGAGGTGGAGGCAGGCAGATCAGGAGATCAAGACCATCCTGGCTAACACGGTGAAACCCCGTCTCTACTAAAAATACAAAAAATTATCCAGGCGTAGTGGCGGGTGCCTGTAGTCCCAGCTATTCGGGAGGCTGAGGCAGGAGAATGGTGTAAACCTGGGAGGCGGAGCTTGCAGTGAGCCAAGATTGTGCCACTGCACTCCAGCCTGGGCAACAAAGCGAGACTCCATCTCAAAAAAAAAGAAGTCTCTACTAAAAATACAAAAATACAGTCTCTACTAAAATAAGTCTCTACTAAAAATACAAAAATTAGCCGGGCATGGCACTGCATTCCTGTAATCCCAGGATTCCCAGGATTCTCCTCCCAGCCTCGGGAGGCTGAGGCAGGAGAATCGCTTGAACCCGGGAGGCAGAGCTTGCAGTGAGCCGAGATCACGCCACTGCACTCCAGCCTGGGTGACAGAGCGAGACTCCATCTCAAAATAAAACAAAACAAAACAACAACAACAACAACAAAACTAGTGCTTATTCGTCGCTGACCAAGCTGCCCATTGGCTACATGGGTACTTCAAACAAAGAGCTGCCCTTCTCCAGCTCTGGCTAGCAGGTATGTGTTGCAGCGAATGCCTGGGGCAGCGGCAGGGGCATTCCTGTGGGAAGCTTCCAGACCAGCAGGAAAGCTAAGTTCTCAGACTGCAGGGGAGCAAAGCGCACCTGGGCACAGAGTGAGGCCTGCAGTTCTCAGACTTCAGTCTTTGGGGAGCTTGAGAAAAATGAGCTTTTCAGGCCCCACCCCTAGAGATTCTGCTCTATCCACTCTCAGTGGGGCCCAGAAATTTGCACTTTACAAGTCCTACTTTCCTCCTTGAAAGCTCCAGAGATTCTGATGCAGGGTTCCGTGGGCCAGACTTCGGAAAATATGGACCCATGAGACAGAATAGCAGAGTGTTGAAGTGTAACAGGGACCTGGGAAGTGCAGTAACAGAAGCAAGTTTGGGGGTAAAGGACACCCAGAGGAGGAAGGGACAGCATCTGCGTGGAGAGGAGACCCCCCAGCAGCTTCTGGGGTGTTGGAAAGGTGCACTTACTGCTATGCATGGCAGGTGGGGAACTGTATGGCAGGGCACAGCAGCATGAAGTGGCATGGCTCATGTGGACAGTTAGGGACAAGCAGGTATGGAGCAGGCATCCTGTTCTGGAGCCCAGATCCCACAGAGGAGCCAGGGAGCTGGCAGGAGCCCTGAACTAGCCGAACAGCTGAACATTCACCCTGTGGAGAAAGGGTCAGAAGCGTCCAGGCTTGAGGGCACAGCTGGGTCCCGTCACTGTGTCACCCTTATTTAGGATAAAGGCCCTAAAGAATTGCACTAGAGATTGGCAAAGCATATCTACCACCTCCTGGAGCCACCCTGGCTGCAGGGATTATAATTATATCCATTTTCAAATTAAGGCCTCTGAGCTCAGAGAGGAGAAGTGACTTGTCTGAGACCACACAGCTTGTTGGAGCCCATCTCTTGACCCAAAGACCGAGGGGCCGAGTTGGCCACCTCTCTGGGAGCTGGTGTTGTATAGTGGTTGATGGTTTTCCATTGCTTTCCTGGGAAAGGGGTGTCTCTGTCGCTAAGCAAAAAGGCAGGGAGGAGGAGATGCTTCTCCAGGGCGGCCGCCTCCTGCTGCTGTAGCTGCGCTTCCAACCTGGCTTCCACCTGCCTAACCCAGTGGTGAGCCTGGGAATGGACCTGCGGGACAGGCAGCCCCCAGGGCCTTTTCTGACCCCCACCTGAGTCCTGGCTTCACTCCCTTCCTTCCTCCCCAGGTGAACCTCCAAAATCAGGGGATCGCAGTGGCTACAGCAGCCCCGGCTCCCCGGGCACTCCCGGCAGCCGCTCCCGCACCCCGTCCCTTCCAACCCCTCCAGCCCGGGAGCCCAAGAAGGTGGCGGTGGTCCGTACTCCACCTAAGTCGCCGTCTTCCGCCAAGAGCCGCCTGCAGACAGCCCCCGTGCCCATGCCAGACCTGAAGAACGTCAAGTCCAAGATCGGCTCCACCGAGAACCTGAAGCACCAGCCGGGAGGCGGGAAGGTAAGAGAGGCTGGCTGCGCGTGGAGATGTGGGGGGCTGCTCCTGGAGGGGTAGGGCTGCGCCTGGAAGGGTAGGGCTGCGCCTGGAGGGGTAGGGCTGCGCCGGGAGGGGTAGGGCTGCACGTGGAGGTACGCGGCTGAACGTGGAGCTATGGGGCTGAGCGTGGAGCCATGGGGCTGCGCACGGAGCCATGGGGCTGCGCGTGGAGGTGCGCGGCTGCGTCTGGAGGTATGGGGCTCCCCGCACCTGCGCTCGGCTACCACCCCCGCGTAACACCCAGGTCCCGTCCAGACCCTCTTCAAGGAAATTCAGTTCTTTATTGGGCTCTCCACTATACTGAGAGTGCTCTCCTCAGGCGAGAGCACGTTCTGGCTCTTCTCTTGCCCCTTCAGCCCCTGTTAATCGGACAGAGATGGCAGGGCTGTGTCTCCACGGCCGGAAGCTCTCATAGGGCACCCACAGCGGCTCCCCACCTTCCTTCTGGGTACAACACGCTGCCACCCGTAGGTGGGCATCTCCACTTATGGGCCATCTGCTTAGCTTGGGTTCCTCTGGATTCTGGGAAGATTGGGGGTTCTGTTTTCATCAGCTGATTCTTCTGGGGGCAAGTGGGTGCTCGCGAGCTCTCCAGCTTCCTAAAGGTGGAGAAGCACGGACTTCCAGGGGCCTGGCCTGGACCCCTTTCTCTGCTCCTGTCCCTGTGCCCCTCATCTGGGTGCGTTAGGCTGACATACAAAGCACCGCAGTGAAAGAGCAGCAGTGTGCCTCCTCACCAGCCAGATGTGGGCGGTGGGTATCTTCCAAGGCCTCTCTGTGGCGGTGCGTAGCCACCTCCGCCCTGCGCCGCCGGGGTCTTCTCTCTGTGTGTGCTCCTGGTGGCTCTGCACACGCTCATCTTATAAGAACACCATGGCGGCTGGGCGTGATGGCTCATGCCTGTAATCCCAACATTTTGGGAGGCCGAGGCGGGCGGATCATGAGGTCAGGAGTTCGAGACCAGCCTGAGCAACAGGGTGGAACCTCGTCTCTACTAAAAATACAAAAATTAGCTGGGCGTGGTGGTAGCGCATGCCTGTAATCCCAGCTACTCAGGAGGTTGAGGCAGGAGAACCGCTTGAACCCAGGAGGCAGAGGTTGCAGTGAGCTGAGATAGTGCCATTGCACTCCAGTCTGCGCGACAGAGTGAGACTCCATCTCAAAACAAGAAAAGAAAAAAGAAAGAAAGAAAAGAACGCCATTGCTTAGGGCCCAGCCTGATGACCTCATATTTCACTTAATCACCTCTCTAAAGGCCCTGTCTCCAAATAGAGTCACATTCTAAGGTACGGGGGGTTAGGGCTTCAACATATGAATTTGTGGGGACCACAGTTCAGCCCAGGACCCCCTTCCCACCACCCAGCAGAGCTGGGGAAGGGTGAAGAGGAGGCTGGGGGTGCCGAGGACCACGGCTCACTCTGAGGCTGCAGATGTGCTGGGCCTTCTGGGCACTGGGCCTCGGGGAGCTAAGGGGCTTTCTGACACCCTGGGCCTGTGTGTCAGCTTGCCGCCCCCACGCAGGCGCTCTCCACACCGTTGAATTTCTTATCACTTGGGCCTGAGCCTGGGCCATGTGGAGGGAGGGTGGCCACCAGTGCATGTGGGCACCTTGCCTCAAACCCTGCCACCTACCCTGGCCCAGGCTTCGATGCAGGAGCCCCCCTGCCCCTGAACAAGCCTGTGGGTGCAGCATCGCATCCCGTCAGGATGGAAATGGACGGTTGGGTTAAAAGAGATGCATGTGTAGACCCTGCCTCTCTGCATCAAGCCTCCTTTGAGTGCCCCTGCGTGCCAGACCGTGCACAGAGGTGGAGAAGACTCAGCTGTGCCCCGGAGCACCTCCTCTCATAGAGGAAAGGACAGACAGTGGCTCCCCTGTGGCCGTGGGGACAAGAGCAGAGCTCCCTGGAACACAGGAGGGAGGGAAGGAAGAGAACATCTCAGGATCTCCCTCTTGATGGCAAATGATCTGGGTTAAATTAAAAGTCCGGCCTCTCCCTGCTTAGGCGTGTGGAGCTTGTAGTGGAAGAGGGTCTCTGGACCCTCACCCACCACAATGGCCTGGTTAGAGGCCTTGGGGAAATAACTCATAGGCGACCCAGGGCCTCTGTCCTGTACCACAGCTGAGGGAAACTGTCCTGCGCTTCCACTGGGGACAATGCGCTCCCTCGTCTCCAGACTTTCCAGTCCTCATTCAGTTCTCAAAAGTCGCCTCCAGAAGCCCCATCTCGGGACCATTGTGACCTTCATTCTCCAGGGTGCCTGGCCCTGGTGCTGCCCAAGAGCCCAGAGGGGCCCTCACTGGCCTTTCCTGCCTTTTCTCCCATTGCCCACCCATGTACCCCCATCCTGCTCCAGCACCCAGACTGCCATCCAGGCATACCCAGGATCTCCTCAAGTCACATGACAGGCAGTACCCTCAAAGTGCTCCCTTCCCCCCAGTCTGAATCTGCTGCTCGCTGTCTGGGGTTCCCCGCCCATGCACCCCCAGGGGCCCCTGGGTTCTGCCATGCCCTGCCCAGTGTCCCACAGCAGGGAATGTCCTTCTCTCCTTATCTCTTCCCTTCCCTTAAACCCAAGTTCAGTTGCCGTCTCCTCCAGGAAGTCTTCCTGGATTCCCCTCTCTCTTCTCAAAGCCCCTGAAAACCCTGACCACACTGAACATGCGTGTGCTGCTCCCTAGTCTGGGCCGTGACTGAGGGTGAAGGCCGAGTCTCACGCGTTTTTGTAGCCCCCACAAGACTGCGCAGGTGGCCGGCCCTCACTGAATGCGGGGTTAATTTAACTCGGGCTCTGTGTGAGTGGATGATTCAGGTTGCCAGAGACAGAACCCTCAGCTTAGCATGGGAGGTAGCTCCCCTCTTGACCCTGAGTTCATCTGAGGTTGACTTGGAAGGTGTGGGCACCATTTGGCCCAGTTCTTACAGCTCTGAAGAGAGCAGCAGGAATGGGACTGAGCAGCGAAGACAGCAGCGAAGAACTGTCCCTCCCACTCTGTGACTGCCCTGCCTGTGCCCATGAGGGGTGAGAGTCAGGCGACCTCATGCCAAGTATAGAAAGGGGCACGGCCGGGCGCAGTGGCTCAAGCCTGTAATGCCAGCACTTTGGGAGGCCGAGACGGGCGGATCACGAGGTCAGGAGATCGAGACCATCCTGGCGAACACGGTGAAACCCCGTCTCTACTAAAAAATACAAAAAACTAGCCGGGCAAGGTAGCGGGCGCCTGTGGTCCCAGCTACTCGGGAGGCTGAGGCAGGAGAATGGCGTGAACCCGGGAGGCGGAGCTTGCAGTGAGCTGCAATCCGGTCACTGCACTGCAGCCTGGGCGACAGAGCGAGACTCCGTCTCAAAAAAAAAAAGAAAGGGGCAGGCAGGGCCCCAGGTTACGACGTCATCACGCTGGGCGGAGACGGCACATCCAAATGTACTAAAGGGTTAAAGGAGAAAGGGTGACTTTACTTTTCTTGAGATATTTTGGGGGACGAAGTATGGAAAAGTGGCAGAGGACACAGTCACAGCCTCCCTTAAATGCCAGGAAAGCCTAGAAAAATTGTCTGAAACCAAACCTCAGCCATCACAAAGACCAACACATGAATCTCCAGGAAAGAAGAAAAAAAAGTCATACGGGGTCCACGCACAAGGGCCTTTAAAACGACCCGCTGGAGGGTCTCAGGCCTCCTCCTCCTCCTAGACTGGCCTGAAGGCTCCACGAGGTTTTGCTGAGACCTTTGGGTCCCTGTGGCCTCATGTAGTGCCCAGCATACAGTAAGTACTCAATAAATGTTTGGCTACAAAAGAGACAAAGCTGGAGGAGTCTGAAGAATCACTCAGTCCTGCCGGAACAGATGCTCACACTGAAGACAGAAGAGCAGGAGCCAAGTCAGGTTTGGGAACCTGCAGAGGCTGAAAACCACTGCAGATTGCTGTAAATCATTCGGGAAAAAAACAGAAAACGCCTGTTTTCTCCTTTGTGCTTTTCTCTGTTTTCAGGATGTGCTACAGTGAACATGTATTGCTTTGGGGGCCCCAAATGGAATTATTTTTAAAGGAAAATGCAGATGATCGGGTGGCCACACTGGAGCACTGGCTGGGTAGGGGTGGAGATTGCAGGGAAGGAGGAAGAGCTGGGTGGGATGCCAGGCAGGAAAAGCCCATAGACCCCCACTGATCTTGTGGTGAGCCGTGGGCAGCGGTGTTCCATCCTAACTGCAAAAGGGAGCACCTGGGGGGAAGAGGGGATTCTTTTAAACACCATTCCAGTGCCCGAGCCCCCCGGACCTGTTGTCATCTTAGGTTGACTTCCCCTGGGTGACTCCAGTGTGCAGCCTGGCTGAGACTCAGTGGCCCTGGGTTCTTACTGCTGACACCTACCCTCAACCTCAACCACTGTGGCCTCCTGTGCACCCTGATCTCCAGTGACTCATTTTCCACTTTCAGTCCCAACTCTATTCCTATTTGCAGATTCCAAGCGCCTGGCTCCTCAGTCAACTCAGACCCAGCCAGGCCAGCCCATGGGTCCCACATACCCCTTGCCAAGGTTGTCCCCGCCCTGTCTGGCCTGCGAGGGTGGGGGTATGTCCAGACACAGAGACAAAGGACCAGCTTTTAAAACATTTTGTTGGAGCCAGGTGTGGTGACTCACACTTAATCCCAACACTTGGGGAGGCCAAGGCAGAAGGATCACTTGAGTCCAGGAGTTCGAGACCAGCCTGGGCAACATACGGAGACCCTGTCTTTACACTTTTTTTTTTTTTTAATTAGCTGGGCATGTTGGCACTCGCCTGTAGTTCCAGCTACTCCAGAGGCTGAGGTGGGAGGACTGCTTGAGCCTGGGAGGTCAAGGCTGCAATGAGCCATGTTCACGCCACTGAACGCCAGCCTGGGCGAGACCCTGTGTCAAAAAAGTAAAGTAAAATGAATCCTGTACATTACATTAAGGCGCCCCAAATTGTACTTAGAAGGATTTCATAGTTTTAAATACTTTTGTTATTTAAAAAATTAAATAACTGCAGCATATAAATTAGGTTCTTAATGGAGGGGGAAAAGAATACAAGGAAAAAAAAGAATCTAGAAACAAAGATAAGAGCAGAAATAAATCAGAAAACACAACCTTGCACTCCTAACTTTTAAAAAAAAAAAAAAAGTGAAGAAAACACAACCAGTAAAACAGAACATATAACAGCATCAAAAGCTGACTCCTGGCTGGGCGCAGTGGTGCATGCCTGTAATCCCAGCACTTTGCGAGGCTGATGCTGGAGGATCGCTTGAGACCAGGAGTTCAAGGTTGCAGTGAGCTATGATCACACCATTACACCCCAGCCTGGGCAATAGAGCGAGACTGAGACCTATTTAAAAAAAGAAAGAAAGAACAGAAAAGCTGGTTCCTTCCTTATTTCATTCCTTTATTCATTCATTCAGACAACATTTATGGGGTACCTCTGAACACCAGGCTCTGTGCTAACAGCTTTTGCCCCCAGGGCCCAGGCCAGGGGACAGGGGCAGATGAGCAGAGAAACAGGGCCAGTTGCAGCAGCAGGAGGAATTAGGATGGAGAGCTTGGCCAGGGAAGGACATGCAAGGGGAGCAACCCGCACAAGTCAGCAAGCCAGAGAAGACAGACAGACCCTTGTTTGGGACCTGTTCAGTGGCCTTCGAAAGGACAGCCCCCACCCAGAGTGCTGGGTGCAGGAGCTGAAGGAGGATAGTGGAACACGGTAACGTGGAGCTCTTCAGAGCAAAAGCAAAATAAAGCTAGAACTGGAGGCAGCTGGGGCAGCCGGAGGGCGTGTGTCCAGCGCTAAGGGGTGTGAAGCTTGGGCGCTAGGAGAGTTCACACTGGCAGAAGAGAGGTTGCGGCTGCTGCGAGCCGCTGGACATCGCCCAACAGGACAGAGGGTGGTGGAGGGGGGCCCTGAAGAGAGGCTCAGTTCAGCTGCAGTGGCCGTGGGAGTGCTGAAGTGGGCGGGCTGTGGGCAGCTGCTGGGAAGGGTTACGCGGGGGTGAGGGCCCAGCAACAGCAACCCTTCTTGGGGGGTCACTGGGAAACAAAGAGGAGAGCTGAAGAAGCAGGGAGTCCCAGGGGCCATGCAGGGCAAGAGAGAAGTTGCTCATATGGGGCCCAGGCTGCAGGATCAGAACTGGGGACCCTGTGGCTGCCAGCAGAGAGAAGGGAGTGTACAGGATCATGGCCAGGAAAGGGCCCGGGGGCCATGGGGGGCCTGGTTGGCTCCAAGAAGTTGGAGCTGAAGTCACTTTCTCGGAGGATGTCCAGGCCAGTAGTTGGGATGTGAAGACCTGAAGCAGCACAGAGCCTGGAAGCCCAGGATGGACAGAAACCTACCTGAGCAGTGGGGCTTTGAAAGCCTTGAGTGTGCAATATTGAAGATGGCCACAAGATGGCGATAGAATGCTGTAACTGTTTCTTGGTTCTGGGCCGCAGCCTGGGTGGCTTGCTTCCTTCCCTGTGTGTGTTGATTTGTTTCTCTTTTTTGAGACAGGGTCTTGCTGAGTTGCCCAGGCTGGAGTGCAGTGGTGCGATCGTAGCTCACTGCAACCTTGAAGTCCTGAGCTCAAGTGATCCTTCCACCTCAGCCTCCTGAGTAGTTGGGACCACAGGCTTGCACCACAGTGCCCGGCTAATGTCTTATATTTTTTGCAGAGATGTGGTTTCACTGTGTTGCCCAGGATGGTCTTGAACGCCTGGGCTCAAGTGATCCTCCTGCCTCAGCCTCCCAAACTGCTGGTGTGAGCCACCATGCCCGACCTTCTCTTTTTTTTTTGAGACGGAGTCTCGCTCTGTCGCCCAGGCTGGAGTGCAGTGGCCGGCAGTCTCAGCTCAACTGCAAGCTCCGCCTCCCGCGTTTACGCCATTTTTCCCCTTGCCTTCAGTCCTAGCTGAGTAGACTGCGGACTACAGGTCGCCCGCCTACCATACATATAAATAAGCCCGGCTATTTTTTTGTATTTTTTTTTAGTAGAGACGGGTTTCACCGTGTTCGCCAGGATGGTCCTCGATCTCCTGGATCTGCGTGCATCCGCCCGTCTCGGCCTCCCAAAGTGGCTGGGATTACAGGCTTGAGCCCCACGCCCGGCCTCTTCTTTTTTTTTTTTTAAGGCGCGTTCTGCTGTGTGCGCCGTGTGTGCGGCGTGTGTGCGTGGTGGTGCGCCTGTGTGTGCACGTGCGTGTGTGCGTACGTGCATGTGCGCGCATACGTGTGCGCGCACACACTCGTCTTCACCTTCTCCCAGCCTTGCTCTCTCTCTACCCAGTCACCTCTGCCCATCTCTCTGATCTATTTCTCTCTCCTTTTACCCCTCTTTCCTCCCTTCTCATACACCACTGACAATTATAGAGAACTGAGTATTCTAAAAATACTTTCTTTATTTATTTTGAGACAGAGTCTCACTCTGTCATCCAGGCTGGAGTGCAATGGTGCAATCTCGGCTCACTGCAACCTCCGCCTCCCAGGTTCAAGCAACTCCCCTGCCTCAGCCTCCCTAGTAGCTGGGATTACAGACGCCCACCACCACGCCTGGCTAATTTTTATATTTGTAGTAGAGACAGGGTTTCACCATGTTGGCCAAGCTGGTCTCAAACTCCTGGCCTCAGGTGATCTGCCTGCCTTGGCCTCCCAAAGTACTGGGATTGCAGGCGTGAGTCACCGTGCCTGGCCTTAAAAATACATTATATTTAATATCAAGGCCCCAGTTGTCACTTTAAAAAGCATCTATGTAGAACTTATGTGGAATAAATACAGTGAATTTGTACGTGGGATCGTTTGCCTCTCCTTCTCAATCAGGGCCAGGGATGCAGGTGAGCTTGGGCTGAGATGTCAGACTCCACAGTGAGTGGGGGGCAGTGCCAGGCTGGGACCCTCCTCTAGGACAGATCTGTAACTCTGAGACCCTCCAGGCATCTTTCCCTGTACATCAGTGCTTCTGAAAAATCTTGTGTAAATCAAATCATTTTAAAGGAGCTTGTTTAAAGGACAGTGTAAATAATTCTGAAGGTGACTCTACCCTGTTATTTGATCTCTTCCTTGGCCGGTTGACTTGACAGGACATAGACAGGTTTTCCTGTGTCAGTTCCCAAGCTGATCACCTTGGACTTGAAGAGAAG